AGGGCTACATATAAGCAGTGATGAATGGGATGCAATCGAGACCCTAGTCAACGTCCTTCAGGTAAGGTTTCATATTTGTTATTTGTCTCTATGTTTTTTCCTGTATTTAATCATTTTTTATTTATTTTCAATCTCATCATAGGTATTCCTGCATGCTACCAAACGAATGGAAGGCAACAAAGCAACCGGCTGTGTTTTACTTGCCGAATACTCGCGGGTCATCTCTGAGGTCGATAAACTCCAAGCAGCCTGTGGCGACTCAGAACTCAGGCAGATGCTTACGGTGATATGCACCAAACTTGAAGGGTATCAAGAGGAGGCAGTTGCCTCGGATGCAATTGTCTTATCTACTATTCTTAATCCGCGATTTCGAATGCAATTCTTCGATCTCAATTACCCTGAAGAGGCCGGTCGAGCAAAATGTATCTTTAACCGCTCTTTTGAAGAAGCCCTTGATCAATGGCCTGAAGAACCAATTATTTCAATCTCTGACAACGAAGAAAACCAAGCCCCTTCCATCTCACCTGACACCAATTTTTCTGAGTTTGACGTATTCACAACTCAAGTGGTATCTCAGTCCGCAGCTGATAGACGCCGAGAGGAACGTGCAAGTTATCTAGAAGGTGCTCATCTTTTGCTTGCCGGTCAGAATGAGCTGGATTGGTGGAGGGTTAGTCTTCAGTCTCTCATATTCAATATCCTTTCTCTTTGAATTTCAAGCTGATGGTTTATTCTTCTGCGTACAGGACCATGAAAAAGACTTTCCCGTCCTTGCCTCACTTGCTCGCGATTACCTAGGCTTATCTGGCACTTCTGCCCCATGCGAGAGGACCTTTTCTTCTGCAGCAGACATTGCTGTACCTGGTCGAGCATCGCTCACTGGCAAAATGATCCAGAAACTTGTAGGTGTACGTGAATGGTTAAAATCAAAGATCACGTTGTCAGGGACTTTTGCAGAGGCTATAGCCTATGTCCGAGCTTACGAACATGGGCTAGCAAAAAGGCTAAAAAGTAGTTTATTTAATGAATTCTGAATTCCTTTTCATAGTCTCATTATCAATTGATTGTTTCCTTTTCCTGGTCCTATCCCCACCCCGTCTACCTATTACATCAATATCTACCTCCCTAAACAATTTAATCTCTACCTTCCCAATTAATGAAAAATAAAAAAAAACGATTTCTTTTTTTTCTCGTGCTATTTTCTGCCCTTGTGGTTTCATTCTTTCAAGAGATTTGTGCGTGTTTTGATCTCTATTGCTATCGATCATTCCTTTGGACCTATTTTATTGTTTTCTTTTTGGCCCTCACGTTTTTTCCATTTGTGCGCATTCTAACAATCCCCTCTCTGCCATCAATGATCATACAAAGTGACCAATTTGTGCTAAAACCCATCTTGACCAACCGCGCGCGCTTTTTCGCGCTAGCTGACCAAAGAAAAATCAGAGCGAAGCGGAGCAACGTAAAATGTCGCACCGCTCTAGAACTTCATAGCGACACCAAATTTATAGCGTAGCGATATGGCCTCTTATCATAGCGCCATATCGCTCCGCTCGTAAAATTGGTGTTTTTAGCGCAGCGGAGCGAAGCGCGGTGGCGTTGAATCACATAACCCCTCCAAACTACCCGACTTGACCATCTCATCGAGGTATTTGTTGCTCACATGGCCTAGACGTTGATGTTGTAGATGACAAGAATGAGTATCGAGAATCGGAAGTTGATTGGAGACGTTAGAACTCACAGGTTCAAGAGAGATAAGCATGAGATTGCCTGAGAAAGCTCCATTAAAGATAGCACATTGACCCATGACCAAGCTGAAGCAGTCGGGTTCTTTCGGATTAATGACAGTAACCACGCCTTTCTTTAACAGAGCACCGCCTGCAATTAAGTTTTGGCTGAGTTCGGGAACATAGAGACAGTCGGCCAGGGTAAACACAGTACCATCACCGGCGCGAAGCTTGACAGAACCAGTAGAATGGACGGCTAAGGAAGCATCACCTCCGGCAAGGCGAAGGCGTTTGTTACCATCTTCAAGGGTTTTAATCGTAGCCGCATCGAACAACTTAACATCATTAAACATATGATGAGAAGCTCCGGTGTCATTGAGAGCCCATAAACCTTCAGTTGGAGTAACAGACAAGGCAACAGCGTCGAAGTCCACAAGTTCTGAACCTTGAGCAGAAGGAGAATCATTTTGATTTTCAAATGGCTTTGAAAGTTGAAAGACAAAATCGGGTTGAGTTGGATAGACAAAATCAGGATCAATTGGAGAATGAACGAATGCAGTTGAAACATCCACGACAGGAAGAATGTCGTTGACAGTAGTTGGCACAGGTGGATCCATGATGGTTTGCAATTGGATGGAAAAGGTCATGGCATGATTTGCAGAGGCCAAAGGTGGTCGAACAACCTTCACACCTCTGATAGTAGATGAAGATTCTGAATGATGAGCTTGTTGAGGGGCGTTGCGTCGCTTAAACCTCTTCTTATTCTCATCTTGACGAGTCATCCACTCATCCCGTTTGGCGAAGTTATCAGGTCGTTTAAAACATTGGTCAGGGCGATGTGGGTTTTGAAAAGTATTACCGACACATCGATCAATAGTGCATTTGACCATGTTACTAGGTTGAGCCGAGGATTGATTTGCATGATGAGAATGTCTTTCGTGAACATGATGAGAAGCCAGAAGCAAAGTTTGTTCGTCCTCAGAGTCAAGTAATTCTTGAATAACCGCTTCAAGAGTGAAAGGTTTGACAATTCGATAAATAACGTGAATAGTGACTTCGTAACCAGGTTTGAGACTTTGGATAAGGGTCCTAGCGGCTTGAGAGTCGGACATGTCACCTTTAAACTTCTCGTACTCCCGATATAAAGATGAAAATTTATCGATATGAGTCTTTAAGTTGTCTGATTGAAGTTGGACCATGGTTTGTAACGCAACTTCAAGATGTTTGAGTTTAGCTTCAGATATACGAGCATGATAAGTCTTGAAATGATTCCACAAAACGAAAGGATCATAGGTGATAGTTAGATCTTTAGTAATAGGATCTTTCTTGGTTAACAGCACGTTCACCATTAACTCCATCACACTTGTTGAGAATCCAAGTAGAAATCAAAAATTTTACTTTCTTATGTTTATCTTCGGTAAGTGAATCATCTCTATAGTCCTTAATATCTAAATAAGACTCATAGCCTACTGATTCAATGGCTTCATGTACAAGTAGATTCCAGTGATTATAATTATCATCAGTAAGCTCGTTCTTGATAACGTGCTTGCTGAGAGCAGTGGTGGTTCGATGAACAAACAATTGAAGAGGAGTAAACGATGCATCGGTGGAAGCGGCATCACCGGTAAGATCTGAAGACATTCTAGGCGATAAAATAGACGGTAAAACTAGTGAATGTAAACCCAAAAAACTTTTGACAGTTGAGTTAGACGAATCAGAGTCGGAGTTTGACTTCGAAGTCGATTCAGAGTCTGTGTTGACAGTTATGGGATTTCCGTCGATAGACTCGGAGTCAGATTCGAGTTGAATATCGTCCTCTTCAGATTGCATAAAAAGTAGGTCGTCGTAAGCAGAGTTGATATAATAATCAGACTCTCGCTACCATGTAATGACACGAATTGATTAGGCTCAAAGAGCGATGTGGCGTTGCCGAATAAAATTTAACCTGGGGTAATCAGGTAACACGTAAGTCAAGGCAACAAGCCACAGAAAGCTACGAAGAGCTAATCAAGACGTGACAAACCTGGGGTAATCAGGTAACACGTAAGTCAAGGCAACAAGCCACAGAAAGCTACGAAGAGCTAATCAAGACATGACAAACCTGTGCACAAGCAGCAGGATCACGGTACGGTCAAGTAGAGGTTTAATAAGTAAAAGCAGTAAAAAGATTCTTTTCAATGGATAACATTATATAAACTGATCATACCTGGGGTAATCAGGTAACACGTAAGTCAAGGCAACAAGCCACAGAAAGCTACGAAGAGCTAATCAAGACGTGACAAACCTAGAGCAACACAAGTGTTAGTCTAAGAGAAAGATAAAAGGAGAAAGAGTAAACACACAAACCTGTGCACAAGCAGCAGGATCACGGTACGGTCAAGTAGAGGTTTAATAAGTAAAAGCAGTAAAACTAAGGATGAAAAAGAAGAGGCTTTAGTTAGATAAGTTGATAAACTAAAAGTAAATAGTGAAACGGCTTACAGATTCTTTTCGATGGAGGAAAAGAATCTGGTTGCCAACAACAGCTGCTATATAAGTTAAGAACAAGAAAACACGAGCAGCACAATTACTAATCATTTAATAAAAAGAAATTCTCAAGTCACACAGACTTATTCCCGAAACAGACATAATAAAACCTCATTCAGATCCTTCTTAATCCTCTTAAATCAATCACATCCTAATCCGTACACATCATCATTAATTCGTTTTCCTTTGATTTCAAATAACACCTTTTCTAAACAATCTTCACAATCTCGAACATCAACACTACACCGGAAGTCCTTGACCAAGGATAGAAAGAGAGCAAAGCGACAGATCTAGACTAATTGACTAATTACCACAACAAGAAGAAATGATGAATCTCAAATCCATTTGCCAATAAGCTTGCAGTTACCCCCAAAAAATGTGCTGATTATAGGCAAGCGGTATCTTGATGCCCATCCGACATGTGGGACATGTGCGGCCTACACCATCAATGGATGATGTTAAGGTCTAGATTTTCAAGCAAGATATCACCACCCAAAATAGAAATGATTGCAAAATAAAAAATGTATATCAGCAAATCATTTATAAATCTATAATATTGTGGTGCTTTACCAATCAATTTACTAACACTTGTGCAATGCTCATGCATAATAAGAGAGCAATGACATCTCAACTTGACAACTCTTTCTGCCTTCAAGAATTGATCTAAACAGATAGGACATTTTTCCATACTTTTGTCTTCTTCTTTGAATTCCAACTTTGTTTTGAACTGGTAATGACCACTTTTTGCTATCATAGTTCAGGGAAAACTTCAATCAGCCATTTATTGAAGAACAAAATCACAGAAAGATAATCTGTGTTGTGTGGTGTTGTTTTGGGGGTGAGATAAAAGTGTGAAGGCTTACAACCTTTTTTCACCAGACTATCTAGATGATCCTGAAGCCCCTCTAGATAAGGGCTGACTTTATACATCATGTCAATGAAGAAGTCTTGATCTCTATGATACTGCTCCTCTTTTGTAACATCTGTACCATGTGATTGTACTTTTAAATCTTGAAGTGCTGAATCATGGACATTGCATGAATGTAGAAGATTTTTTACATCATCCAGATTGACTGAATGCCGGCCTAAAAAGGGTAGAAGAAGGCTCTTGATGTAAGGGTCTATATCCCCTTTTTCAAGGTATAATTCAATATGGGGCTGCAATACAGCTTGACACTTGAATCTCTCTTGAATCACTTGAGAAGGTTTACTGGTTGATGGCAGAGAGAAGATAATCTCACGGACAGCTGGATAGAATTTCTGCAGATGATTCAATATAAGGTCCAAACAATGGATCTCTTCATCTGGAGTATCTTTCGCATTCATGTGCTGCAAAGCTTGTAATGCCAATGACTCAACAACACCTCCGTTGGACAAAGACCTTGTTAGAAGTAATTTATCATGTATCGCTATGAATCCAGGCGTTTGATGACCTCTTTGGGAGTCCTGAAGGTGATTCCTGATGTTTGAGATCAGCTCAACTCTCTTGAGAGCTTCTGCAACAGCTGAAAGCAATTCCATCTGAATCAGTTCATCAATTCTCAAAGGGAGTGGCAAAGTTCAAGGAGACAGGCGGTAGATTACTCACATTCGTCGGGAGTGAAGCTGTCTTTCCTTCCCTGTGATAAGTCCTTCACCAAGTCAATTCCTAAAGATGGAATGAGCGCTTTTATTCCAAAGTCACAACGGTGATAAATTGTAACTTACCTTCTGTGAGGAAAAGCTCCAATCCTCCTCGGCAGACACGACCTGTGTTTGGATCCTGTCTGATAGGCTCTAAATATCCCCTTGGCAAGAGAGACTGAAGTATTCGAAGTATACTCAAGGTCCACAGTCTATCATATACGTTCAAATCCTCTCCTTGTAAATATTCTAGTGCTGTGAAGACAATATATTCAAACCGAGACCCTCTGTGAAAGAGATATGCCTCGAACTGATGCTCAGTGACCAATTTCTGTAGATCCCTAACTATGGGCTTGATTCCTTCGCTTTGTGTCTTGGCGCTTTTGCAAAGCGCTAAAAGCTTTCGCATTTTTTCCGCATCAGTGAACAAGTCGACAAATCTCTGAACAAGTTCTGAAAACACACTGCTTGAATGTGCCTTATATTCAAGTTCTTCGTTTAATGGCCCGAGGATTTCGGACGCCTTGAATCGTTCATGCAGCATATTTTTCCCCTTCTCTCTTTCAAGTCTGGCGCGATGAAGTCTTGAGTGTTCCCTTGCCATATTTGTATATTCTTGTCTATGGAGCTCTGTCGAAGGATTTGATCTTTCAAATTGAAGCTCATGGCCTATTCGATAGTCTCCGAGGGCCATGAACGGGTTCCAGTCCTCAACTTCATTTCCGCTTTGCGATAGAAAAGGCGCGCAGAGGGCGTAGGAAAACATTAAACACCACCCCAAGCATAATATGTTTTTCTTCATATTGATTTGGTAGATAACGAAGATAAAGTTTATTTGCTCAAAATTTTAAATACCTCATAGGAGGGTTTTGCAAAGTCGTTCAGATAAGTCTTTAGTGGTCCGGATCAGGCACAAACATGATCTCGTGCAAGAGCAAGCAATCTGCGTCTTGATTGCAACGCATGTTCCATGAGTGTTTTGGAACTACGAGCGCAGATCCTGATGACGATACCGATCACAACGCCCAGTCCCAGATTCTGAGAGCGAATATACATGCCAAGATGCACTGGTAGAGAAGATTTCGACAACTGTTTCTTCTCTCCTCATCGGCCAGAGCCCGAACAGGCAGGATATCATCTAGCTTCAAGGCTTCGAGCTGATATGTTGAAAATAAGTCAATCGTTTCATCCTCCTGCGTAGATTCCAATTTCCAAAGCCTCTTTAACACAGAGCTGATTCACGGAAATCACATTGAATTGACCCGTCCCTGCTAACGCCTGGGGGCACGCCCGCGGCCCTGCCGGCCCGGATGCCCGTTGGTTTTTTGCTTGATATTGAAACAAACAAAAGATCTTTTTTCTTTTACAGCTATTCATGAAATTCTTGTCATGCTCGCAAAAAAAATTGCGATTTTGGTTGCCACGCCACCACCCTGTACGGCTGACCCTCCCCTGTATTGCTGTAAGAACCCACCCTGTACACACGTTATGGGCTAACCCTGTATGGCCGGTAAGCCCCGGCTGGGATCCTAGGGGCCATTATTGGATCATTAGGCCAATATCCTGTTTGGCAGCGCGGTTCATTCTCTCCCCAGAAAAAACACGACAGCACAGCATCTGGCCTCCTCACCAAACAACTCACGCCCACCAAACAAATTGAAGTCCGGTCGGCCTCTGGCATCTTTGGTTCTCAATTCAAACATCAACCTCATCCGGTCAGCCATGGCTCTTTCACAACCACATCTTGTTCGAATGGACGCAACGATGGACCAAGTCATGGTGGCCCACCCACAACTCGATCAATTGGTGGACTCACCTCTCACCTGCGGCGAGCTCGGTTTGCTCAACCACACGTTGTTCAATGTCCAGTTTTGCATACAAATAGGCCAGCCTCGCTATCCAATCCCCTCTCAACTAAGCAGCTTATTCATCCTGACCAAGAAGTGCAATATGGTCAACAGAAAATTATCCCACCCTCCTCCGTATGTCCTTCCTTGTCACTTCGAATCTATTATGGCGGTTGTATCTCACCCTCCATTGGCCGTGATCCCATCAGATCTTCGGATGGTGTTGAGAACCTGACTCGCGGGATCCGAACTCGCAGCTACCAGGCTCTTCTGGCCCAAGCCTCGAGGCCAGCAGGGTAAGTCGTGGAACGTTATGCGTGTTCCATGAGGTCCCCACATTGCTGACATAGGTGATCTGCAGTGGTGCAATTCCGAGAGCTACAGGACCCCCTCTGCCTTCTATTGCATCGAGCTGCGGTGTGACTCCGATCACTTCTCCTCTGCAACTCCATTGATACCCCAACGCTATTGCCACCCCAGCCCTTATTCCGGATATGGGACGTAGTCACTCTAGCCTGGCGCTTTTGACCTCCTCCCAAAGCTCTTCGTCATCATTTCATATCAATCCTCTCATTTTTGACTCCTCGACGTCCACACCCACCTCCACCCAGGCTACTGCTTCCACCGCGGCAATGGGGTTTCGGGATGAGCGCCCAGATGCCGATCGTTCTCCTTCAAAGAGGCCTGCTGACAACATCGAGATGACTGGTGAAGCGGAGCGCAACGAGGCCATTGATGAAGAATCTGATGGTCAGCAAAAAACCTCTCTTGGCTCGAAATGATACTGACTGCTGACCCTTTGCTCATGGTTTCCAATGTCGTTTGGTTTGGATTGGTTGTCCAGATGGTAAGCGTATTGTCTCATTCCTGATGTGACAATTAGCTGATATCATCTACCCCTCGCGATCTTTTCTAATCTTTCTCTCGTTTTGGTAGATCTACCTCCTGCTCATCTCGATTTGTTTGATGAACCTACCGAAGACGTCGAGGTTCCTGTTGGACCCACTGTTCAAACTGCCCCTTCACTGTCCTTTCTTTCCGACTCCTCACGTACTTTCAATGCTTATTTTAATATCTGGCAACGCCAGTGGCCCGAGCCTGAAAGCCCTGCTGCTAAGAAACGTAAACGTCCTGCTGGTGGCACTAGACCGGCCCAAAAGAAACCGACGAAACCGAAGTATGCCAATTACGCCCCCAAAGTGCCTACCAAGTTCACCGTGAAACCCAAATTCCAATGTTTTTCCAATTTCAAAGACGCCCTCTTTGCCTCTTGCGACGAGCGTCTTCCGGGTATTTCAGAGGTTTTTCACCGTGCCTGGGCCAACCGTACAATCACCATTATGGTTTTTGTCAACGCTTCCGCTACCCATAAGGCCTCCGACAAGCAAATCATCAGCTCACCGACGAATTTCCAAAGCTTTGTTCATGCGGCCTTGACTGCTTCTGCTTCTACAAGCATGGGTTGCAGAATCGTTCAAGAGGACCCTCGGAAGGCGATGCAGGCCATGCGATCCCTGCTCAGTGCGTCGAAACCATCGGATGACGAATCTGAAGCCTCTGATGGACATGAGTCCGTTGGTTCCGTTGGGGTGAGTCGGCTTCTGATAATTGATGACTCCATTTCAAAAAAACTGATGTACTCGTTTGGTGTGCTGGTACCAGTCTGGCATTCTCAGTGCCGGAGAACGTAACCTCCGCACTCTCATGAAGCGTTTTGCCCGGGACTTCAAGACCGGCGAGAACGTCGCCAGTGTCCCAAATCCCAAGGATCCTTCCCAAGTGTTGCTACTGAATACGGCACACATTCGCACCTGGGCTAACGATTGGGTATGTTTCTCGTCCTTTCTGCGGGCTCCTTCTGCTGTATTTACTAATCCTTGAATCGGTTAACTTGTGTAGGCGGATGGGATTCGAGGTGTCGACGAGATGAACCCTCCCATGAGCCGGCCCGGTTTCAAATGGATCAAGGCTTCCGATTACGAAGCCGAAAAAAACGCACTTCTTGGTTTGACCACTGCTTCCGCCAATGTCGCCACCCCCGCTCCCACTCCATCTGGGACGATTGTTCATCACAATTATTATGGGAAGCCATTCCCATCGGCCCCGCCACCCTATGCTATGCATCCACCACCCGGACATGCTGGGGTTTATGCCCCCCCTCCGCCTACCTTTGCCAGTGCGCAGGCTCTTCGCCTTTCGCCACCACCGGGTGACCCACCGGCCTTTGAGGACTTTCTATTATTTGCAGGCATTCGTCCCGATATGCAAAACACCCGTCAAGCTCTAGCTCGTGAAGGTATAGATGATTTTAACCAGTTGTTGGACCGCGGTACTTACACTTTGGCCAACTTTAGATCCATGGGTATTTCTTTCGCTCATGCCGAAGACTTGTTTAAGGCGGTTCCCAAATTTGTAATCCACCTCAAATCCCCTCATCCCGCTGTCTAATCCATTTTTAAGTTTAGATCTGTGTTTCTGGTTGTTTTGCTCGCTATACTGTGGTGAAGATGTTGATTTGTTTTGACGAGTTGTTGTTTCATGTCTTTCTTGCTTGTGTCGCTTGCTATGTTGTGCCGACGTGCCAATCTGAACAATACATCCCCTTGCCTACCACATTCCACTGCCAGTTGGCCTCCTAATGACCGAACAAGCCTCAACCAGCCCTTGTGGGAAAAGAATCCACATAGACCCACTGGCTCGGATTAGCGACCAGGCTAATCCGATAGCTTCTGGACTGGATGGCCCAAAGCTAAGTGTCTCGACACTTAGCCTTGATCATGTCATGCAGTCCCTCAATCCACTGGTGGGCCAACTTTTACCAAGTTGAACTAAGTCATGTCTTGTAAAATTTTTGTCTTTCAAAGGGCCAGTCTTCAACGACTCGTCAAAGGCTATGTGTAGGCTCTCAAGGAAAAACTGGCGCTATGGTAAGGTCACAGAGATCACATTTCAAACCGAAAGACCAGCAAGGTAACCTCCACGGGTGTACAATCAAATAGAAGAACCAGGCCAGCACGCTAAACAAAACGCATCACTAAGTAGGTCGGTCGACCTACTTAAACTATGAACCCCCCCGATCGTTACTTGCATCTAACTACCCTAGACCCAATAACCACACACAGTGTATAACCGGTGCATCAGACCACCCGTTAATACATTCCATGCCCGGTCCATGATGTAATCCACTTTTTCAGCGGCCGGGGTGCGAAGAAGACCTTGGGTCCGCCGGAGGTGAGACTTGAAGACAGAGAAAGCTTTCTCAATGGGATTGAGGTCGGGAGAGTAAGGCGGGAGGTACAAGAGCCGTATCCCTCTCTCTTCAGCCAACTCAGCGATACGCCCCCCGTGATGGATACGGGCATTATCCATCACTAAGACCGAGTTCGCTTCAGGATAGCGATTCATCACAGGAAACTGGATCACCAAAGGCAAAGCAGATTAGTAACCAGCCTCGGATGTAAGCCCAAAGGATACATCACTGACCAGGCGATGTTTCAAGAAGCCTTCGAAGTCCCGGCGAAGGTAACTCCCCTCTTGGCAGTCGAGAGCCAGGACACCTCCTCGGAAGATTGCTGGGAGCAGGGAAAAACGTCCACCTCCTTGGCTCCAAGGAACTCTTTCCGTGCGATGACCACGTTCGGCTCGGCCAAACTGACGTCGGAGAAATCGCTCTTGAACAGCGCACTCGTCTGTAGGCATATACATGAGAAAACTTGGTCTTATAACAAGGGATAGCTCAAGGCGGAGGACTTACCGAGGAATACCAACATATCGGGAGTCAAAGCACCTACTGCGTGTAGGTATTTTGCTCGCTTAATGTCGCTTTGAGCAGGATGAACCGTTCGAGTTTTCTTGAGAGTCAGGTTGAGCCGGTTCTTGAGGTCTTGAGCGATGGTATTGAGCGAGATCCAAGTGCCAGTCCGACGATATACAGCATGTCGATACTCGTCTAGGTAAAGGCCGGGGTTTCCGTTGAGTAGTTCGAGCATGAAGTCCCGATCTTCATCGGTCAGCTTCGTATTTCGGCCAAGCGTCTCATAATCCGCAGGATTGCGAACCACCGAAGCCGTACGTCGGTAAAGCGCGTGCCATCGTGATATCGTGCGCGCGCTGACCGATGACTTCAGAATCCTTTGAACGTTCTCAATCGTCTTCCCGTCACGCAGGTGCTGGACTGCCAAGACCTTGATGCCGACGTCATATTTTCCGGGTCGCACGGGTCGCGGAGTGCGTGCCATACCTGCTGGAAGGAGGCCTGTGTCAGCGACGTTGTGGAGAGATTTGAGAGGAGAAAGTGGTCCTACCTGACTGTAGAAAGGGTGAGGCAGGGTTAATCGCTTTGGGGGTAGAGGTATCGGAAATGTTGGTTGAGCCAATACAAACGGCAATGAACCTGGTTAACCCTAACCAGTGACCACAGACCATTACAGGTCTTATGTACGGCCAAAAGTACAGTGTGGTATGCGCTGTATCCGCTGTATCCGCTGGCCAGAGTGGTGGCGTGGCAACCAAAATCGCAAAGTTTTTTGCGAGCATGACAAGAATTTCATGAATAGCTGTAACATGGGCTCAGTATACAGACCTAACTAAGTCCCTCTCAGACAAACAGGCGTCCCGCTTGGACAAACGCTCATTTGAACGCTTGCTTGTCCAAGAGGGACTTAGTTAAGTTTGCTCAGTAGAGGTCTTTTCAATGTACAAGTAGGCTCTTTTGACCTCCAAATGGACCCTGATAGACATATAATGGCGATACAGGTCAAAATCATTGCATTTTTACCACATTTTGGGACCCATATAGCTTCAAGGTGTGCCCTGGTTGAGCCTGTGTGGTTTTGCAGCCCCTTGGGGGTTTGGCCCTGCTGCCCGCCCTGAACTTTCAGGATTGGGTCACAGCCCTAAGAGCACCCACTGTGGTGGGAGTGTTTTATTGTAAAGTTTGCGTTCCTGAGTGCAAAGTTTGATCATGTGTGTTTTACCAAAGTTGGTGACTGCATGAAATCCACTATGGGATGATTTATTGTCTGCTTTCCCTAGTTCCTACAATAAATCAAGTTGTAGGCTTGCGTAAATCTGAGCACACAAAGTGCAAGACTCAACGCAGCCGTACGGACCGCAGGTCTAAAACAGGTTCATAGTGGATCTGTTGGTATTTTAGCGTTAGGGTAACACTAAATCACCAAGTTAATGCACAACCATAGTGGGTGCTCTAACTTACCTGACCCAAATTTGAAGGTTCAAATATGTATATACATACTTACATGTGACATGTGAGCAAATCATACCACACTAGGGCTATGAGTCATGACCCAGCCCACTACTTTGTGGCTGGCGTTGTGGAGTCTCCTGGCCCTGAGAAGGCCCTCTCGAAATTGTCATGGCTTTTCAGGATGCACCCAGAAATGTAGGGCTTGGGGCTGAGTGGGTTCAGACTCATGTTGGTTGCAAAAAAGGGTAGGAGGGGGCATAGTTTTGGCATAAATTTCAGCTTCATATTGTGGAAATCAAAAATCTTCTGCCCTTCATTTATTTATATATACATCTCATTTTGCTTTTAATTCATAGTTTTATTTTTCAAATCATTTTCTTTTTTTAAAAAAACACTTAGTTTAATTTTTATATATTTTTTTCTAAGTTCACAATCTCAATCTTGTTAGATCAATTCTATAATCCTTCTATACAAATCAAATCATTTCATCACTAATTCATCCAATAAAAATCAAGTCAAGATCACTTCATAAAAGGCAAATCCATTTCAACATAGTTTATTTTCATTTGAACATTACTATTGCTTTTTAGTTTATAAAAATTCAAGAAAAACCAATGACATACAATATTTGAAGAAAATAAAAAAGGAAATGACTGATCATAAGGGATAGTAGCAAGTGAAATGAAGTAAAATGAAATCAAATTTATCAAATTGAAACTAATCAAATTGGAGAGAAATAACAAGGCTTGATCAATCTAACAACCAAAGACAGAAGTTGAAGTTAATAAATAAAATTGATGAATCAGGTTAGAGATCAACAAAAATAGTTTGTTCAACAGAGCTCTAGACTGATAAGAAGGATTATGTTCAGACAATCCCTTGTGAGCTTTTCACACCTCCTTTTGACAATCTCCAATCCTGAAACCTGAAAAACAAAGTTGTGATCCATATGCAGGAACATGATACATGCATTTTGAGTCCCTGACATGTTACATGGCTCTTGGCCAGATCCACTGTAAACATTATACATTATCCCCAAGTGGGAATGGAAAAATGATTATTATTGTAGTTTGTCCTAAAAACATCTATCACTGCAAACCTGAGACAGAAAACCCACACTACATATGTGCAACAAGCCGAGTAGATTGTTGGCTATCATGTACATACAGTTCCGCTTAGTTCCCTGCTAATCTGCACAAGTAAATCACATGTGATACATCATGTAACTTCTTCCAGTTTGACAAAATTGTCCCAAAAATTGACTACATATAATAGCTACACAGACAATACTCAAAAAGCCATTCAACAGTAAAAGAAAGGGTGTTACATGAAGTTTAGTTGATGGAATTACATACACCAAAACTGTGGGTCAGTGTATGTAGTCAATATTTGGCATGCTTGTCTCAAACTGAAAAATAATTACAGCAGGTATTACATATGATATACTCGTTCAGATGAGCCAATAGCTGAGCGGTTCTGTATGTACATGATAGCTCCAAAATTTTCCATCCTTCTGCACATATGTAGTGTGGGTGCTATGGCTCAGGTGTGCAGTGATATGTCTTTTCATGAAAAACTACAATCTCAATCATTTTCCCAATCTCACTTGGGGATAATGTATACTTAATGTTTATGGTGATACCATGATCAAGCTGTTTGGACAATCATTCTTTAGGCAATGTTAAGATCATACAAGGGAATTAGTCATTTCAGTATGTGAGTCATATGCAAGGCAATAAGGTCTACTTGCTGAACAGGTATTGGCACAAGGTCACCACAGGTCATCACATCATGAGTATCCCTGGAACCCTTTCCATTCCTCTTAAATTATATTTTAAATGAACAATCTCATAAAATCTTCATTTACTTAGCTCAAAAAAATCAAACATTAAGGGTTTCAAGTTTGATTTTTTTTGCATAATTTTTATAAATTCAGACAAGTTGTTTGTAAAAAAAAATCTTTGTAAAACAATGTATTTATGATTTGGGACACCTAAAAAGGTGTCCCACTGTAGAAAAAATACGCATATTTAATTGAAGTATAATTCTTATACTTATGTTTGGGTTATCTAATCTCATATTTAATCCTTTCTTATTTGTTTCTTGTCTCATACTCATCACATCATATTCTTCTTTATGAAATCATATGCTGTGTGCTGTGTTATGATGTAAGACCTTGTGACCACCTCTTAGAGTAGTTAATCGGTATAAATAGCTGTAGTCTTTGGCCTACTTTGCATTTCTCTTCTTCACCGATTTCTCTACTCACTTTGAACAGGTTTGCCTTCTGCTCTTTATCGGTCATTGAGATCTTTCTATCTCACTAGTTACTAACTAGATATTCCCTCAGCCTTATAGCCAACTTGCAATTCATTTTACAACAAAGGGCAAGTTGTTGTAGTTTAAAAATACGAAAAAAAAACTAACTTGAAACCCCCTATTCAATACCCGAACCGCTCCACACTTTATAGCTCTTGCGGAGCGGTTGTGTAGCGGTCCAAGTCCGTGGCGTAGTCCTAAATATTTAAAGCGCAGTCTGCGCGCCGCACCCACGCAGCCAAAAATCCGGTAGCGGAGCTTTTGCTCCGCAAACCGCCGGGGCTTCGGGTCCTCCGCTATATAGCGGAGGAAAACCAGGGATACAGGGTTCCTGGCTACCCCTTCCCACCACTAGTCTCGATCTCAAACAATCTCGACTGAACGAACGACCAACGCCACCTATACACGGTCACCACTTCGAACAATGAAGCGACCCCCCTGGACAGCTTTCAACCTACCGTCAACCTGTGGTTCATGGCGTGTTCTCCTCGTTTTCTGCCACTATATAGGGTTACTGAGGTGAGTCTTCCTCTTTTGATTCTCCCGATTCATTCACAATACTAAGAGAAAATTTGTTCATACTTTCCATCATCCTTCCCTATTCCAAAAACCCCAATGGCACCTTCCAAAAGCTTGTCGCAGCCTACCCTTCAGATCCCTAATTCCAGTCAAGCATCTTCTTCTCGACGCCTTCGTCCCCCAAGTCCGAATCAAAAACAACCAGGTTATGTTGTTCCGCCCCAAGACTCGCGTACAGCTCTCAGTGTGAACACTTCTACATCAGATGATTCTTCTGGACCACTTTCTCAACGAGCTGCATCACCTCGACCTCTGCGTCAGGCTCCTATCGAGAATAAAGGAAAAGCACCAGCTGCTAAGCCAATACCGCGTGGAAAAGGGAAGGTAAGTCATTCTTCATTCTCACAATGATATACAGTGAGGTTGAACGATATTGTACTCTTTCTTTGTACCCCAGACACTTTCTTCCACTAGTAAACATGTTCGATCAACTTCAGGAAGCCCAAGTGACAGCCCAGGTCCGTCAAACAAGAAGTCTAAAGCGCATGTAAGTGAATTTCAGGTTATCTTTGCCAAGACCTGCCTTCATATCTATCCTTGCCATTTTCTCATTTTTCATCCTTCCTTAGGCATTCGAGATTCCTGAAGATATGGCTGGTGACGTCTCTCAAGAATCCGACGTCTCTCAAGAATCCGACGTCGAGGTTGTAGGGTCCACCGACCTTGGCTATAATCAGCGACGGTCTGCTGATGTCAGGAAGCTCTGCACATACTTTTTTCAACCTAAGCCAACCGAGAAAGTAAGTCAATCTCTCATTATCAACAATCTTTCTCAACATCAGATACTTGTCTAATGAGCATGTTTTTCTAGGGTCGCTCATTTAAGTGTCGGTTCTGTTTGAACACATTTAAGTGTGGATCGACATCATACTGGGGCCTGTGGGGTCATCGAGACGGCAATGAAAAACGCCCCCATTGCAAACAATGTCACAAGGCAATAGCTGCCGGTCTTGATCTTCCTTTAACTTACACTGAAAAGCAAGAGGCCGAGGCAAATGATCAAACTACATTAACTGATTTTGTCAGTGCACCGACCTTCACAGTGGATCTTTTAAATATGATCATGGTAATGTGGGTTGTGCGTCATGCACTCCCCTGGTCTCGATTTGAAGATGCCGTCCTTCAATCGGCTTTTGATACAGTCAATCGCAGTGCAGTCCTTAGATCATCAACGTGGGCTGCCCAAAAGTCGGTGGATCTGTTTTCAGGATTGCACAGCAAGGCTATCAATAAGCTTAAAGTATGTTGTCTCTTGGATTATCCCCTCTGTTCCATTCATTTTGGTTCTATTTCTGACTTCCTTTCTATCATCATCCCTAACCCTCCAATCAATCATCAAAAACTATCTAACAATCTCCTAGGAAAACGAAGGGAAGTTCTGCTTAATACACGACGTTTGGACCACCAAAGGCAATCGATATGCCTTTGTTGGAGCGACAGCAAACTATGTTGACAATAACTGGGAGTATCAGTCGACACATCTTACTCTAAAGTTGATCGTATGGCGCCATTTTGGTGCTTTCCTAGCCAGGCCAATCGGACGATTCCTTATCCGACATGGCTTACACAAAAAGATAAGTTCATTCTTTTTTTCTCAACTTTTTTAATTGTTCCTTTGGTATTAATTAGTTACTTTGCTTTCGTTTACATGCTAGCCCAAACTACTGATAGCGGAGGAAACAACGCCACAATGGCTGCCGAGCTTCAATCAATGTTTGTAAACACTGAAGACCCGGCTTTTTGGAACGGCAATACGCATCATGTGCGTTGTTACGCTCATAAACTCAATCTAGTGGTCGGACACGGTCTCAAAGCCCTAGGACAGAAGGTAAATAATGGCAAGCCCTCCACTCCTCTCAACATACCTCTTCCTGTCCCTGGTCTTGAGATAAACAATGGCGAGGATGCTGTGGAGTATGACAAATCAGACGAGTCAGAAGATGAGGATGGCTCACCTGATAAGCCGGACGGTGTTGATGATGAGGATGGCAACGATGATCAAGGAGAAGTAGTTTGTGAGAAGGACGATGTGGTTGCTGGTGCTCTCAAGAAGGTACGTAAAATTCATATCTCATTATATAGTCAATGCTAACAATCATTGTACATTGTCCCTCTTATTATACATAGATCGATGCAGTATCTGGGCAGATTGCCAGTAGTGCAGCTCGAAGAAACGATTTCAAAACTCGTGCCGAACGGATGGGTTACAAGGGTCGGATGTTAAAACGTCCTTGCAAGACCCGTTGGAACAGTCATTATGACAGCCGTAAGGTGGCTTGTGAGGCTCAGGAGGTAAGTAGTTATTATTATTTCCATTTCTTTTTCTTAATTTTCATTTGCATGGAATCTCATCTTCCTTGATTGACAGGTCATCAACTCGATGATTGCAGCCAATCGCAAGGCTTGCTTCTTCAAAGGTGTTACAATATCTGCCTCAGAATGGCATGCAGTGGAGTTGGTAAATAAAGTATTGAAGGTACAATACTTTACTATTCTATCTCATCATCCACTTTCCTAATCGTTGATCATCTCTTGTCTCACTTTAGACTTTTGTAGATGCGACCGCTCGAGTCGAGGGCAATGGTCCCACCGGTTGTATTCTCTTAGCGGAATACAAGCGTGTGATCTCCAAGCTGCAACAACATCAAGCCGAGTCGACAACATTTCCAAGTCTTGACAAGGCCATCAATGTCATGATAAAATGGCTCAAGGAATATCAACAAGAGGCCGCCGAGTGTGAAGCGATACAGCTTGCTACAATACTCAACCCTCGATTCCGAACCAAATTCCTCAACCTGCACTATCCGGATCAAGAGGCTTCATCTCAAATACTCATTGAAGATGCTTACACTAGTCTTTTGAAAGAGAACGAGGAACTTCAGCCAACTCCTTCAACTCAAGAAGATCTCGAGCCTGTGGATCCCGACGAGTTTGACGTCTTTGGAGGTTCTACTGGTGATGCAAGCAAACCCTCATCTTCGGAACTAGACGAGTACCTTTCAGGACAATACCCAATAAGCAAAGGCCAATCACCCCTCATGTGGTGGAAGGTTAGTCGACTCACTATTCACTTCTTATTTGACCCTGGCTAACCTTACTTTATATTCATACAGGAGCACGAACACCATTTCCCAACCATTGCAAAACTGGCACGCGATTATCTTTCCCTGTCGGCTACCTCATGCGCGCGCGAAAGGACTTTTTCAGCTGCTGCTGATGTATGCACCCCATCACGAGGTAGCATGCTTCCTAAAACGATGGAGCGCCTAGTCGGATCCCAGGCATGGATGAAAGAGGGTATCATCCCTGATGGACCATTTGAAGAAGCTTCAAAAGTACTCCAAGGCTACATAAAAAGGGTGATCAAGAAAAAACGCTAGGCATGGATATCTTTGTATTCCCAAATTCAATTTAGTTATCTACAAGGGAGTTTTCTTTCCCCATTTTTTTCCTTCTCTTCATGTTATCTTGCCTTATCATCTACTTAGTTTAGCTCCCCAACCCAGTACGTATTGATTTGAAATAAACATGTAGATCCATTTCTCTGCCTCAACCATATCGCCATATAGCGCTATATAGCGATTTTTGCGCTCCACAACGCCGTGAGAATTTTTTTGCCTAAAATAGCGATATGGAAGCGTAGTCTCTCATAGCGGAGTGACCGCTCCGCCAGCCAGAGGGGTCAGATCTCATGGCGTAGCGTAGCGGTTCGGGTATTGCCCTATTTGCTATATTCTCTCCAGTCTCTTTCAACCAACAGTATTCATCTTGTGCGCTTTCACTTGTCAAGTAGCCATTGTTAGAGGAAATGCTGAGGCACACATAACCCAAGATTATCAAATGGCAGGGTGTTCTTTTTCCTATCCATTGCATCAGATATTGATGAAAATAACTTGAGAGGCATACCTCAAGTCACTGCACACAGCTTGCTGCTCAGCCAGGCTCCCAGATGACAGATTTTTATTCCCAAATGCAAAAGACATGATACTTGATGATGGAGAAAGACTGATGTAAAACATGTAAGACTTGAGATAACAAAATAAATCATGAACTTGGACAAATCAAGAGAAACAAAACAAATGACTGTTTAAACCTGCAGTAAAAAGGCGGGTGGGAGGTGATGAAAATATTGGTGATGAATACAATAATTTCTCACAATAAGTCTTTGAAATTGAATGATCCTTTTTTTGATAATTATTAAGGGAGAGATGAATAACTGATGTTGATATCTTCAAGACAAATACGGATGATGGAGAATTCAAGATGAAATGAAGATAATTTTTTTGAACAATTGTGAACATGTTGACCAAAGTTAATTGGTTCATTTCCAATCAAATAATAAAACTGATGTGAAACACATCTTGAGATGATCAAATCGTGTAATAAGTTCCCAATTACTTCCAGGAGATGTGTTGGTCTTTAGTGAGGGGCAGTGTAATCCCCTTGCGACATTGGGGACAGAAGAGATCCTGAAAATTTGAGGACCGGAAGAGGTTCTAAGTTTGCAATCAAAACGCCCAGCCACACAAATAGAGATCAGAAGTCCAGTTTCACATCAGCCAGAGTCTCTTGAGGCAACACACAGAGTCTTCTACTTACGTTTGTACAACTTTCATGATGAATATGGTCACATCTCAACTTGACTACACTTTGCCCCTGCAAGAATTCACCCAAACAGATGCTACATCGCTCAGAGTTTTGATTTTCATCCTCGGGATCGAGTGATGGCCTTGATCTGAATTGATAATGTCCACTTGCTTCTACAAATTTCTCACAGGAAAACTTGATCAGCCTGAGCCAGACAGGTGTTCATATATATGTTAAGGGATTTGGTAGAAATGGTAACATGAGGTATATGTGTCCATCACTGATACAATTTTCTGAGGTGTTGTTTTTGAAAGTGAGGTAGATGTTTGTGGCGGCTTACCATCTTTTTTCACCTGGCGATTGAGAGATTTTCGAAGGCCTTCAATATAAGGGGCTGCTTTGAACATCATTTCTATGAAAAAATCTCGAGCTGCGTAATTAATTTCCTTCCGGTAAAAGTTTTGACCAGATCGTGCCTGTGAATCTTCAAGTGCCGAATCTCTAACGTTTAATGACTCTAGACAAGATTCTATGTACCCCAAATTGATCGAATGCCACTGTGTGAGCCCCCCCAGTAGTTCTAGCATAAATTTGTCTGATTGGTTCCATAAGATGAAATTTTGAATACGAGGCTGAAATTCGGCTTGGTACTGTAGTCGCTGCTGAATTACTTCAAAAGGTTTCCCTGCTGTGGACCAAGGTTCCACAATATGTGGAGCAATGGGATAGAATGTGCCTAGATGTCGCAAGATGTGATACGAACACTGGATTTGATAATCTAGTGGAGTATGCTTTTGATTCACATATTCCAGAAGTTCCAATGCCATTGAGTTAACAACGCTCACGTCATCTAAAGACCTTGGGTCAAATAATATGTCATGCATTCGACACAACAAAGGTGGTCTATAGACCCCTTTCCCAAGGATATTATTGATGTTAACTATGACCTCAACTCGCTTGAGAGCCTCCATAACAGCTAAAATAACTCCCTTATGCATCAGCTCTTCATATCTCAAGCCGACAGATCAGAAAGATACGGTAACAGACTCACCTTTATTTACCGGCGACATCTCTATCTTCCCATTTGATTCACTCTTCACCCTGGGTTTACAGTCAAGTCCTGAAGATGAAATGAACTTTTTTATTCCAAACTGACAGCAGCCATAAATCAAAACATACCTTTTGTTGAAAACAGTTCCAGTGCTCCTCGGCATACAGGACCTTTTTTTGGATTTTGATTGAGCATGCTGAGGTTTCCTGTTGGCAAGTAAGATTTAAGGATTTGAAGGACACTCAAATTCCATAGCCTTTCATGAACCGACAAATCTCCTTGTTGTAAAAGTTCTAATGAAGTGATGATGATTCTTTCAGGCAAAGAACCAAAGAAGAGTTGTCGAGGATCTTGTACTATAGTCTCCAGCTTCCCTCCCAAGTCTCTGATCTCCTCTCTGTAGATTCTACTATCCTTGGCGAGATCTGAAAGCTTGGGCATTTTGCTTTTAAGAGTAAAAAATCCAGTCAACCTTTGAGAAAACCTAAAATAAGACTTTGCTTCACGCCGTTCAAATGGCTGAAAAATCTCTAATGCCTTCAACCTTTAATACAGGATCTTGTTAGCTGGAATGATTTCTGAAAATGAAAGATGAACTCTCAAGATTTTTCTCACCTATCTTCAGAATTCTTTTCTTTTGTTGGATTGGGCTCTCTGGAAGGATTTGGGTGGGGTTGAAGTCTGTGTCCTAGTCCTGATCCTCCCAATGTAAAGTGATCTTCCCGATTGACCCCCGCTTGAAGAAGCCGTCCAGATGGATCAAATGCACACATAGTGCAGGCAAATATTACGCACCACACCCATAAAATCAACTTGTTTGTACTGAGTCGGTAGGCCATCTTAAATTGAAGGTTTCTTGACCAAATACTCAAAAAAGCAATCAGAAGAGGGTTGTGGGAGCTTCAGGTGGGACTTGATCAGTGGCGCACGCTACTACCAAAAATGATTCTTGGACAATTGATTTTGAGAGGCTCACACTCTCTTATAACACTGATCTTGCAACCTGGAAACTGCAGTTGTGGTCCAAACAAAAGGTCATGGGCTGCGCATCTTGATTTTCAGTCATCTTCGATCACTTCTGCGCGACTGCTGAGAAAAATATTGTGATGAAACCATTTGGAAAAAAGGGGATGGGTACATACCAAGTCAGAGAAATCCCTTCTTGAAACAAGATACGCAAATCTCAAATTACGGTATCTATAGTATCTATTCTACCTTCATCAGCTGTGAAAGAGGTATTCATAGTTTTCTGCAGCTCCGGGCCTTCGACCTGACCATCAAAAATGTATTGGTGTTCAACCTTCTGCGCTTGTAATTCAGAATCTTCCTCTCAGATTCCTCTATCACGTGCAAAAAGATATGTAGGCTGGTTTGAAAGAATGCTGCATCTTCTTTCCAAGTGCAATTTGAATATGATGTTACCCTATTACATTTCATAAATGAATAGTCTGATAAAAGTTGCTTGGCTGAAACTTTCTGCGAGATTTTACCCTGCAACTCACTTTCTGCGAGTGTACACACACTTGAGTGGTATTGAGCTCTTCAAGCCATTATCATTGTCGACAATACCAGGGTTCACAATAGGCTAATCTCCACTCAGATTTGTATGTCACACTCTTCTACACGTTGAAGATATGAGTATATTCACACATGGCCAAAAAATATGGTGTGTCCAATACTACCATCACATTGCTAGAGATTTGCTTGAGGTATTCCACATCTTGAACGTATCTTCAATATTCTTTAGCTCAAAATTGTTAATCATTCTAATAAGCAGGATGAAAATTCATTATCACATTATCATTTCCACTGTCCATGGATGTAATTTCAGGTTGATCTTCTTGAGTGTTCAAGAGGCCTTTGATATCAAAAAAGAGAAAATTGGACACATCAGATTCACATCTCTTTGACTCTATTGGGGAATATTTCCACAACTCCTTCAGAATTTTGCACTATAACATTGACAAGGTCATAACCAACCCAAACTGTGTGGATGAGCTGGCAGACATCTCATCAGTCTAATCATTCAAATATACGGGGCCTTCAGTCTTCAATCACAAGCCACTTGTGTGGTATCCTAAAAAACGCAGGCTCTTCCAAGTATGATGGAAGTTTGTAATATTATAGCTCTAATCTTATCATGAATGAACGAGACTGTAAAACACCTGCTTTGCTCTGCTCCCATCCACTTCTCTGATCTATATTTTTTCTGATAAAGATCACAGAAATTCAATAGGTATTGGTTGAAGATCAGCGCGGCCATGAAGGAGCATGGCCAGGCTTTTCTCCCCGGCCTGTGTGATGTTTGCCTGAGGCGTGCTTGGCTTGTAGGTCTAATCAGTGGCATCATGATTCTGTGCTAGCTTGTGACCTGCTCTAGTTGGGTGTGTTTTGTTGCAAATGTTTAGTAACCAAAAGCTTGGGACGCAACTTGACCTGATGTGAATGTTGTCAACTTCTCTGCATTTCAATCCTGCGATGTTTGAATATTGTGGTGTTGTGGTGTTGAGTTTAGGGTCAGGGAAAATGCTGAAAAAGTGTATTGAGACTGAAAGCGTAGCGTAGAAATGAGCTCTGGTTTTGATTTCTTCCAACGAATCCGAAGATGTTAAGACGATCAAAGTTAATCCAATTCAACTTCTCATGCTCAGCGGTCAACAAACCAAAACCTTACAACTTATCACCTCGTCAATTCTCTACAAATCGATCTAAAGAACATTCAGAACATGATCAAAATCTACAAAACATTTTTGATTCATCAACATTCAAATCTCAATTCAAAACTAATAATCTGAATTCGACTGGAATCTTGAATTATCCACAGCTAAAAACTCCGAACGATCTGGTCTTGACGGCTGAAAAAACAATCAGAAGATGTGCCTTGATCGTTAATCGAATATGTTCTTCATTTTCACCTTTTCGGCCAGATCACGAAACAAGGAAAAGCTTAGATCCTACGACAGCTTTTATACGATGTGTCGGGATGTTCGATAGATTATCAGATGGATTATGTCGAATGATCGATTTAGCTGAATTATTAAGAAATTTACATCCTGATTCAAATTGGATCCAAGCTTCGGATCAAGCTCACGATTTACTATGTCGATATATGAACACTCTTAATACTCATCGTGAACTGTATAGCGTGAGTCCAATAAAAGTTGCATCAAAATCCGACTCAAAACCTCAAATCTGATCATTTTCCGTCCTTTTGAGTTTCTTGAAGTCGCTCGATGATGTTCTGAATCGAATCCCAGAAGAAGAACAAAAAAATCCAAAACTTTTCGCATCCAGAACGGTAGCCTTGCAGTTCTTAAGAGATTTCAGAAGACATGGAATCCATTTATCATCAAAAGAGAGGTCGAAATTAGTCGATTTAACAGATAGAATGTTAATCTTAGGAAGAGCTTTCTTTTCAAACTCAGCTAATCCATCTTCATTAATTGAAATCAATAAATCAGAGGCACTTTTATTAGGTCAAAGGTTCATTAATCAACTCGATTTTAACTCTAGAGGGCTTTCCGAAATTGATCCCACAGATTGGCATGGCTTAACTTTACTTCGACAACATCCTCTAGAATCAGTCAGAAAAAGGGTTTGGATGTCACAGAATCAAAGCTCGGAATCGGAGATAGATGTACTCGAAACTCTTTTGCGGACTAGACATGAATTCGCAAAACTAACGGGTAAATCTAATTGGTCAGAAGTTGCTCTTGAAGACAAGATGGCATCTAGACCTGAAAACGTGATGAATTTCCTATCTCAACTTTCGAATAAGACTAGACCAAGTGCGATTGACGAACTTCGAGAGCTTCAACGACTTAAACAACAACATATTTCAAGTTCTCAATTGCCGACTATCTATCCTTGGGATCGCGACTATTACGCGAACTTGATCACTCAAGCTGAACGTACACCTTCGAGCGTCTCAGTTTCACCCTATTTCTCAGTTGGGCGTTGTATACAAGGTCTATCTAGATTGTTTGAAAGGATATATGGTATTTCTTTTAGAGTTGAATCTCATCAACCTGAAGAAGTATGGGATCCATCTGTCGTTAAGATTGGAGTTTGGGATGAGAATGAAGGTAGAATAGGTACAATTTATTGTGATTTGTTCTATCGAGATGGTAAAACTACAGGTGCTGCTCATTATACGGTTTTATGTTCTCGCCGAACTGATTTGGATGATGAACAAGCCGATTTTGAATTCTTGGAATCTGATAATGATCAGATTCTTGTGGATGATCTGAGGCTATCTAAGATAGATTGTGAACTGTTGAATGTACCTGTTAGTCAACGTAGGAATCGAATTGGCACTTTTCAACGACCTGTAGTCGTCTTCAGTTGTAGTTTTGACCCACCTACAGCACATCAACCTAGCTTACTAAACTGGTCGGATGTCGAGACTCTCTTTCATGAGATGGGACACGCTATGCACTGTGAGCAACGTCTATCAATAAGCTTTCAACGCAATTTCTCATTTATTAATCCATCTTTTTCACGCTTTCTTGAAACAATTAGCTATGATTGGTCAAACAGAGTATCACAACGTAGCAGGGACAAGATGTCCAACAGATCTAGTCGAATTACCTTCAATTCTTATGGAACATTTCACCAGTTCACCAGAAGTCTTGAGATTATTTGCAAGACATTGGAAAGATGATAGACCATTATCCGATGAATCACATCAAACTCATTTATCATCTCAATCAAGATTTAGAGCCATTGAAACCAATTCACAAATCGTAATGGCAGCAGTAGATCAATTTTATCATTCAAATAGAATCTCAGAATGTGATTTCAATTCAAGTAAAGGATGGAATTTAATTCAAACTGAGTTTGGTATCTTACCTTCAATTCCAAATACATCATGGCAAACTAAATTTGGACATTTACATGGATATGGTTCTAGTTATTATTCTTATTTGTTTGATAGAGCTATTGCAGCTAAAGTTTGGAAAGAATTGTTTGAAGACAATTCATTAAGTAGAGAGAATGGCGAGAAATTGAAATCTGAATTATTGGAATGGGGTGGAGGTAGAGATCCTTGGTTGTCTGTTGGAAATTTATTAAAGAATGATTTAATTAAAGAAGGTGGGATTGAAGCTATTGGTCTGATTGGAAGTTGGGGTCTTTGGAACGAATGAAGCTTCTGCTTGTTTTGATTTTTGTGTTTTATATAAAACTAGATATCTATAGTTTTGCATACTTAGTTTTTTTGTGAAAAAGTAATCATAAGATTAGATTCAGATATGATGAGAGCTCAAGCCGTGACATTATTTTCCTCAAGGAAAGTCGGATCCGAGATGCATCCTCCAAGCAAATCAGATCAAGAGAAATGCACTACTATAACAGGGTTGTTTCTCAGACTCAATGATCAATTGAAATTGACTCTTCGAAAAAAATCATAAGCATAATCATAATCATTCTCAAGTTGTTCTTCTTATCAAAATCAAAACAAAATCAAGATCACATAAACCGAGAACAAGAGCAAGAGAGAGAGAGAGAAAGTAAAATAAAAAGAAAGTGAGGTAAAACTTAAAAGGATGGACTAATTTCTCAATCAATGAAGTGTGTTGAACTAAAATAAAAACTTTATCCTACCATATTGTAACTAGATGATCAAAAAAAGTTGGAGAGAAAAATGAAAAACGTCAATTAAAGAAGTTATGAATCTGTAAGCTAAATTCGGAATAGAAAGAACTCACATAAGTAAATTGGGAGTAGCAGAAACCATATCATGAGTCAAAACATCATCGGCCCTCAGTGAAAGTACACCATGATTTGAATTTCTTCTCAACAATTCTGTCATAGCTTTGGTTGACATATTATGTTGACTTAAGTGGTAAGCCATCAGAGCAGCAACGTGTGGTGCTGCCATACTGGTTCCTGAAATTCTGGCTGTAGCTTTATCTGAAGAGTACCAAGCCGATGTGACATTTGACCCAGGTGCGAAAAAATCTACGCATGATCCCCAATTCGAATAAGGCGCCCTAGTATCATCAATATCACTTGCTGCGACCACACTATAAAAGGAGATGGTGTAAAGATTAGCCGAAGCGACTCAAAAGGAACAGAAGGGTGAAGTTGAATAGAGATTTCGAAACTTACTTTGCATCTGGACATGCTGCTGGACTAGAAAGACAAGAATCACCGTTATTGTTTCCGGCTGCAACCACAAAGTGGATACCTAGATCGATAGCGTTTTGAACCACTCGATCAAGCGCGGTATTTCTACCACCACCAAGTGATAAAGAAGCTACAGTAGGCGGATAACCAGTGATTCGAAATTGCTCAACAACAAATTGGATACCTGCAATGATATCACTAGGTGAGTCATAAGGAAAAGCAGGAAAGGAAGAAAACCAATGCAAAAGTTCAGAGTTAGAATCAGTACATCCTCAACGAACCAAGAGATAATAGGAATGAGAGATCAGTCAAACATACGAGGTAGCACCTCCTCCTTCATCTGATAACACTTTCACAGCTCGCACTTTTGCTGCTTTTGCAACTCCCCACCGACGACCAGTGATGACTCCTGCACAATGAGTTCCGTGTCCATTTCCATCCCACATGGCATCTACAAATGATAGGAAAGAAGGTTTAGACACTTCGTAAGATAGTAAGATACATCAAAGGAAGCAAAACGAGAAACCTACATCCACCAAATTGGGCTGCAAATTCCACTCGACCTTCAAAATCGGCATGCGTAGCTCGAGCGCCTGTGTCCAAGACATAAACAATTGTACCCTTGCCATCTGGCTCTTGATAGGAATAATTGAAGATCGTCTTTCCCGGATCCTTTCCATTCGCAGTGATCTTGGGCCGTTGACTCATACGTTGCAAATTCCAAGGTGCAGTACCCTTTTGGATAAGATAACCACCGCCTGAATCAGTTGCTGCTGCAGATCCATCAGCTGATTCGGCTGAAACTCCAGTGGGCGCAAGGTACTCCGAAATTGAATCCAAGATCGGCAAGGTAGACATCTTGGTATCTGGTACCATTGCTTCGACCTTTGGAAACAGACATACGTCATCAACAAAACATGGCGAAGAAAATGGAAATCAAGACTTCTGCTCACCTCAGGACTCCGGGCTACAAATTCAAAAGCTCTACCAACTAAACGAGCACTAAAACCATGAAGAATGTTCTCAGCGTAGACATAACCAATCTTGCTTTGATCTTGCGAAGGCATCATGTCTTGATCAATTAAGTTTTTCAATTGACTGATAAAACGAGCCGCAGTCGCATTCTTTGAAAGGATTACAATATAAGTATCAGGCTTATAAGATTGATTAGGATCACCAATCAAAGGTGCGATCCGAGCGGCTACGTCGCCATTGTCTTCTTGGCTTTCTTGATCGAACAGAGTTGTGGCCTTAGTCGAAGTTTGATTCAATGAGCTTGCTTGATGATCTTGATTTGTCGTTGGAGTAGAATTTGAATCTTGTCTCTTAATGAATTGAGCATAACCAGAAGTAGAAAGTGATTGAACGAGATTGAATTGAGTAAGAAAAGCTAAGAATTGAATTATCGCTGGACCTTTCCTGATTCTCATCTTTTCTGTTTTAATATCTTTAGATTCCTTCCTTCTCTTCCTCCTTCTTTACTTCCTTTGGTAAAAGAAAAACCTTCAAGGTTTACAGATTTGAGCGTCACAGACAGTCAAGCACACACAAAACAAAACAAACAGATAAGGACTTTGACAGATGTTCAAAATTTGTGCCAGACAAGGTCAAGTAGTGTTTTAAAGTTGTGCTTTAAGGTTGAGAATAGTTTAAGTGAAGAGTGAGTGATGATTGAAGGAAATTGGTGGAGGGAGTGAGAGGATTAACAGATGGTGAGGAGACTAAAAGGAAAAGCAAAAGGGAAAGCGCAACAAACGCCGTTGAGGCGCTTTGATGTTAAATATCCTCCATGTCTCACCTCACAAAATCTTTTCGAACTGCCGCATTTCCAAACATCACTAAGAAAGTTTCAAAGACAGGTCCAGTATGCCTCCGCCGAAGAGCTGAGGTGATGGTTTCGATCGACGGTTGGAGTGGAATCGGATGCCTTGATTATCTAATCACAACTGAAAGGTCATCGTTTGAGATCACCTAATCTACTAGTGCAGTCTAGACTTCTGATAAGACCTGTCACTGGCTCAGCAATCAAAACTCTTACCATGGCGCCACAGATCAGTCGAGTTTTGTAACAAATTTACTCCTCAATCATTCTAACTTCTTTGAGCTTGACACAATGTCGGAGCCTGTTTAGTTGAATCCACTTTCACTCTGTCTACATGTGTGCCATGTGCGCATTCATCAACCAAGGATGCACTCCATGCCTACCTCACTCGAAGCACAGCCAAATGTGGGATTGTTTGGAAACTCGATTTACTGTTCTTTAATTTTCTTCATCACATCCCAATGTTGCTAGAATTTACTTTTTGTCAGTTTTCTTTCATCATCTACACCTCTCGAGAAAAGAATCTGAATGATCACCTATCTACACCTCAAAAATTCACTCATCAAAAGCAAACAAGAAACCTTCACTATTTTTTGAAGAGAATGAAATCTGTCGAATTTTGTCCTGAACTAACCCACATTCGTGATGCACTCATCAAAAGCAAGTGACAAAGGACGCGCTGAGACAGATGTACATCGCGTCCTATGTGCATCGCCTCGTCTGTTTGGGTACCGGACATTTGCTCTCAGGGCCATGACGGTCAAGCCACGCACTAGAGGCAACAAAGAAGAAGGTGAAGCTTAACTAAGCCCCTCTTTCTACGCGGCCACGGGAGCGGATCTGGCCGCGTCGGACGAGGGGCTTAGTAAGCTTAGAAGAAGGTACAGTACTCGTACTAAGGTCACTCCCCCGCTGCCGACTCTCCGTGGCTCATTCACAGTCCTGCTTGGGCGTTTTGAAGAGGTCTAACTCTTTTGGTGAGAACCCCACGTGACTCAACTTCGAAGACACATAGAGATCTTCAACATTATCCTCACAATTGATTTTATTCAATTTTCTTTTCTGATGTATCTTTACTCTTCTTAGATAGTTTCATTTTCCTTATTTTGTAATTAATACTACATTCAAAAGATCATTCGCGTACTTTTCAAGTTCAGTATAATAGCTATCATCATATTCTTGTTGGCTCAAAAGGCAGTTTCTCTCACGGTTCCAAAGAATGATGATCATACGTAGCAAGAATTCAATCAGTTCAAAGGGAATCTGAAAACATCAGAGATGATGATTGAAATATAATTAGGGAGAGAACACCGAACAGATTATATGGTAAATAATCTGAATCGTGAAACCACATCATGAATTCAACAAAAACTAGCAAAAAACATCAATGCTGCAATGTGCTCTAACTTTATATAAGTAAATTTGAAATTTGTTCTATAAGACTATCAAAAAGTTGAAGGAATTCTTACAAACCTCTTTATTGCACAAAACGCAATGGAAAAACGAAGATAAGATGATATGATAGATTTATAAGGATCTAGATAAATCAAAAGAGAAAGCAGTCGAGATTGAAATGACGAGCCATGCTGTTCTCTTGTTGTGTCTCTGAAATGAGTCGCAGACGCAGATAGACGATTAGAAATTAAGCTCATGTAATTTATCGTGAACAAAAGGCAAACAAAATTCCAGATAAAGATATAACAGACAGAAGTCAACAAATGGAAAAGAATGAATGGATTTGGCGTGAAGACTGACTGAAGAAGTCATGTTGTGATGTACTATTAGATTTGAAGTTCCAGGTCCTGATAATAGAGAAGGATAGGAAGTCTGTTGGAGTTTTCTTCAAGGATCGTCTAACACATCAACTGCTAAATCAGTAGGCATCTAAGTGAGAGAAATATTTGAATTCTAATTTAACCCTTGAATTTTCGCCCGGCCGCGACAAGGCACTTCTAACGTGTATGTTTACGAGATGATCCTTTGATGTAAGCTCTCTTGGAAGTTTGGTTCTGTGTCAAAGCAATCTTGTAATTCTTCTTCGTCACCGCTCGGATCCGTTATCGAAGAGGTATGTAGGGATGAAAATGTAGAGATCATGCTTGAGGTCATAGTCGACTTGATTGTACCACTCGATTCTGAACCCGGATTCCGCCAACAAGTTGAAAGATCACTAGGAAGGTTTATATTACTTAGATCTGATGAATGCTTGCGATGATTGTATCGTAGCATGGGGTAGTTGGGCGCATTGAAGCCAGCACGAAGGTTAATGTCGAAGAACTGAACTTTTCGCAGCTCGAACTTTGAGCTTTGTTGTGGGGCATGGTGCGCATGAGTATGATGAGAAATTGAGCCGGGTTGAATGGGCGTTGGATCTTGCCGATCTTCGAGATCATCACTGTTCTTGAGATCGACCTGTTGTTGGACTGTAGATGAACTTGAGGCGGGGCCCGAAAGCAAGTCATTTTCCAGACGATGAGTGTCGTAAGGCTTGAAATTGATAGCCCAGCTAATGTCCTGAGCTGAGTGCGAGCCAGTTGAACGTCGCCTACAGTCCCTGGGAAGTAGCTTTGGTTGCGTGACGGTGGATTCAAGTTCAAGTGAGCTCAATGGCGACGGTTCGCTGTCACACGGTTCAGAAGGATTAGTATTCCTCGCGAGCTTGAAGCCTTTCGAGCGTTTGAGGCCGGTATCAATTGAGGAACCTCTCAGCTTATTTGCTGCCTTGGCGAGCCATTCAAACCGATTCTTGTTGGCTTCATTCGAGGTCGGATCATCACAGTAGGGTCCATCTCTTTCATGTTGAAGAAAGTCCCACTCGCCATCTTCTTCGTCTAGCATCGGCACTTGGGGGACCGGAGTGGGTGGGCGTCGACTACCTTTGCGCCTTCGTAGAAGAAAAGCAATGAGAGTCCTCTGGAAATTCATGGCAGCCGGCTAAAATACAAACTCGTCAGTCATCTGGGCCATTGCCAAGTTTGGTCACCATTCTCCATTCAAGTCTTTCGATGAATCTGAACTCACAATGCAAGCTCATCCGTGTCTTTGAGACTTGGAAGAGGATATTGTATCACCAAAAATCGTAAAGTGTCCCAAAAAATAAGGGATGAAAGTGTGAAAGCGAAAGTAGGTCAGTGAAGATCATAAACTTTGTAACTCGTGAATCCAAGCTACGCTCAAGATATCACTCAGTCAGTGCATGGAGTTGTGGGCAATATGAGTCAATGCATAAAGTTTGGGAAGAAGAATCTGATCCTTGCGAGATTTCTTGCCCTAGTGGTTCGATGCTCGAGACAGATTACCCCGAATCGATTCTTAGGCAGGTTATAAAGCTTCATGAAAGATATTCATTTGTTTGAATTAAGATGATTTTTTTTCCTTTTGATATCAAGAAAGGTCAACATTTCAGACTTGAGCTGCAAATTTGGTCACACATAGTTCGGAATATTCATCCTTGTGCGCTCAGTTCTCCTCGGATGTTTAGCATGGTTCATCTTTGGGCATAGGAATGCATTTCATCAAGGTGGCAAGTTATCGCCTGCTCCAATTTCTCTTTCGGTTCACTTGTCTTCCAGAGACATCTCCAGCGGACTCATTATAACAGAGTTGATCCCTCTGCGCTGAAGGTTTTACGCAAATCCAGCTAACTTGGTTGTTGCAATCGCTTTGAGATCAAACGGTAGCCTGTGTTTAACTCTTGGAAACGCTCGCAACATGAATTGAGCTCAAAGCAAGATGGAGCTCGCGCGTCTTGATTTCCGATCGAAACCATGACTTCCAATCTGATCGTGGCATTTTTTCTTCCATCATGGTATTGCTAAATGGGAACTGATTGGAGAAGAGCTTGAGCTAACCACAGCGCAGCTGTTGAATTTGTGGCCATCGAGGTCAAAGTTCAAACGACCCTCGGTGGGATTGAGCTTTGGCATCGTGATTCATACCATCAGTTTTCCTGATTAGGGTATGTAAACAAGCGGGCAGGTCCATGTTTACAAACTCGACCTTTAATAAAGACTTGATGCAATTTCAATTAACTCGATGTGACCGCGGTTGAACACCCAAATTGGAGTCGGAAATGGTGCTAGCACGGGTGAGAAACCTCTGGCACTTATAAGGAGATGATGGAGATCTTCATTAATGATTGAAACTCGGCAACTCGAATATAGGTTCGTGTCCATCGACAGCTGGACAAAAAGTAATAGCGGTGTACAAACCTACAACCCAACATGAAAACCCATGAAAAAAACCCATGAAAACCCAACTTCTTCATGGGTTTTTCTGACGGGTTTTTTTCATGGGTTGCCCTGGAAAGGTTTGAACGCCCCAACTCCTAAAACATGTCTTGAAAGTTGAGTCACAGGCCACACGCTGCTCTTGTCATCACTTGAGGCCTTAACTTTACTCCACATCTCTCTTTTTTGCATCCAGCTCAACCACCGCGCTTTTTGTATCGATAAAGGTTTTTCTTGATTTGAATCTCACACTACTTCAAGGAAATTTTAGTTTTGAAAGTTTCATCTCTTTTTGTTTGAAATAAAACGATATCTTGTGCTTTTTTGAAACAAAACGATCTCGTTTGCATTTGACTGAAAACAATATCTTCGCTTTAGAAGTATCATCTCAAAGTCTTAGAAGCCAACTTCAACAGTTTCTTTTTGAGATGAAACGATATGTTTTTTTATTGAAAACGATGTCTTCATTTCAAGAGTCTCATGTCAAAGGTCTGAAAGGCAATTCAGATCAGTTTTTGTTTGAAGTAAAACGATACATTGTGCGATCGTTTGAAATAAAACGATCGCTTTTGAATTCTTCAAATTGCAAAGGTTGAAACAAACCGAAGAGAGGGAAACTTTGAAATCAGCATACATCAGGTATTTAGACAAGCAGCATATGTTTATTTTGTAAGGATTTGTGTTATTGGGTGTGTTGCGTTGACCAAGAAGGGGTGGGGTTGGTTGAGTCTACATATATCGAACACAACTGTTTTTTTCAACAAACGGGTGGTGAGATCTAGACGATTTTGACCCATGTGAAAAAACCCATGAAAAAAACCCATGAAGAAGTTGGGTTTTCATGGGTTTTTTTCATGGGTTTTCATGTTGGGTTGTAGGTTTGTACACCGCTAATGCACAAAAACTAATTATGGAGTCGAGCTGAAACAGGACTGTTCCCCACTCAAACTTTATACCCGTGGGCGCCTTTTGGCACGCCAAGCGCGCCACGCCTACCGCACATTGGGATTCCAAAAAGAAGCTTCAAATTGGAAGACGACTGCTGAACAAATATACTCCCAACTCCGCTGTTTTTTTTGGCACATCTTTGTGCAAGCAACGGACTGAGATTATGTCAACAACCGATGGTATCACGAAATAATAATTCACAGGTACAGTAGCCACCGAACTTGAGGATACGCCAAGGCAAGCAGACGAGCAGCAAAAAGAAAAAACAGAGCTTGGAGCCGAGCCGAGTACTGAAGATACAACAATAATTATTCCTAATCGTGAGTAGTCATTTCCTATGATTGTCGAGTATGCAGTAAGAAATCTGGCGGTCCAAATCCAAATTGAAGTAAAGCTCAAGAGTGTGTGATAATCGAAAAATGACGAAGAATATTGATTGATATATATTTTTTACCTGAACTTCAACCAGGAAACTCTCCAGGAAGTAAATCTACCACTAATCCCGAACAATACAACCACGAAGACAAAGCGAAACCACTTGGCCAAATGAAGAAATCAGTAGGACACAAAAAAGAAATGAGAGCAGAAGGGAGTAGGAAGGAGAAGAGAAAGAGCACGGAATCGGGTACTGAAGAGCTAAGAATTCTATCAAATAGTAAGTGCCCATTCCCATCATATGATGCCCAATCTTCTGTGGTTGCCCGGCGGGCTATCAACTGGTAATCGACCGCCTTACTTCAAAGTAGAAGTAAACCTGAAAAGAGTATAATCATGATGAAATAACTGACACCAATTTCTCTATTTAAATTTGCCCAGTGAAATTTAAACGAAGTCATCCTACCACTAACACCCATAAAACCAATCACGACGACGAAGCAAAAACAGTCGACACATGCAAGAAAGAGGTACCAGAACAAGAAGCAGGAATGCGAATAGAGGGGAGCAGCTCACAGAAGAGACGAGTCTCTAAAGATCTACTAGCTCATCCAAATCGTAAGTACCTATTTTGATAATAGATTTTCTGTGGTTACTCGTTGGTCAATCGAGTGATGATGAAAGATAGTGGAATAACAAGTAATTGATACAGACCTCTCTGTCCAATTTCAACCAGGGAAATCTCAACGAAGTAACCCCACCATCAATGAAGCCCAAATGGTAAAACTCGAATCAGATGAAGAACTCGACATAAAGCCAACCGAGAAAGAGCTGTTAGCAAAACAAATTCAAAATGCATTCGGCCAAGGTGATTATATTCTGGGAATCAAACTTGTTAAAAGTTTTGAAGAACTCTTTGGAGATGAAATCAATCAAAACTCAAAGCATAAAGATCCTATGCAAAAATCAAATCAGGGTCCAATTCTAGAGGATAGAAAACCATCTGAACTCCCCGTCGACAAACTCAAGACAGTAGAACAGATTGAGGAACAGATTGATGAACAGCTAGCCTCTACGTCCGAATTGGGTAACATAGAAAATGAAGAGAGTTGGCATTATCATGAATCGGATTATGACCCCAACGACACTGGAACTTGGCAACGTTTTGATGGTGGATACCAAATCGGTGGGCCTGGTATCGAGAATTACTACTACTGGTCAGACTGAGTGGTAAGACTGAAAACACGAAGGGATAACAGGTGAACAAGCACGTACTTGAGAGACCTTTGACTCATATCGTTTCACTAAGGACACTGACTTCATCTTCTTCTTGTGCTCTGTTTAATCCTTTTTGAGATTACCAGAGTCTGAGATAGGTTGTGAAAATTAGAGTCCGCAGTCATCAATCGAAATCAAAGTGTGTTTTAGCTTGGGCGCAGTTATGTGGAGATTTGTAATTACTGAGGAAGTTTACTATGTATCAACTAGAAAATGGGAGCACACAAGTAGTGATAAAGTCCTCTTGGCTTTGATCTTTACATCCAATGGTCTCGCCAAATCCTGAGTCAATTTTGTGATTTTCGAGAAAATGAGCCACACTATCATGATCTTCTCAGCCTTGGGACCTTGATAAGATCTTGATAATCAATTTCCCTTGGTCACTGCGCCTTATCAGCTTTGGGGGAAGTAGAGTGGCGTCTTGAATATTTGATGTTAAACAGATTGAGACGTGCCCTTTCAGGTCCTGTGCGTGCCGTGACGGAATCTGCACCGTGCACCCAGTATCAGAACTTAGACCTCGCCCATTAAGATTTGAAATGGAAACAAAAAATCAAATTCTAAACACCCAAACCATCTCTTTACCATATCATCTCTTGACCATATATTATCTCTATCAACAACGAAAACAACAAGAAAGTCTCGAATATAAAAGAATGGCTTCACTCTTAAATCGTAGTTTGGGCGAAATTAAAAAATCAAGAGAAGTTGGTTCACATCCAAACCAAAAACCAATCTTTGGCAAGAATAGAATCAACGAAGTAAGTTTTCAATCACAATCAAACGATCAACGAATCAATTCAAAACACTCATCAAACTCTTTTTTGAATGAATAGACTAGCGATAGTTGGAAGCATGACCTTTTTGATGCTCAACCTATCAAGGAATCAATTGTGATCGATGAAGCTAGATCTCCTGCACTTTTAATCACTAACCTTCATTATGATGTTAGCGAAGCAGAGCTAGAGGTAAACCAGCTGTTATTTTTCTTAGAAACCAATGAGATGCTAACTTACCGTTTATCTCGTGAATGCTCTTTTCTTATTTCAGGCTCTCTTCGGACAAATTGGTAAAATCGATCGAGGACCAGTAATCAAAGTACGCGATATTTGAAAGTTTTCATCTTAAAGTTCAATTTCTTTCAAAGATTGGATCTATCGCTTTTCTCTTTCTCTCCTTAGACCTTTCAACCTTTTCAGTGTTCTTAATCTGAATCAAATATCAAAATAGTACTTTCCACTCGGTTGAGTTCTCTAATTTCTCGAATCTCAATGAGTCGCTTCACTTCTCTTGGTCTTTTGATATCCATTCTTCTTTTACGGCATACACCTCGCACCCCTTCGATCTACATTTCTTATACGATTCTGAAGTCTCCTCGAATCTTTCAAGAGGGATGAAAAGTGTATCTCATTCAACGAATCGAATTGTGTTAGGTCGCATATCTTGAGAGACTTTCTCTACAGATTAATTTTTCTATTGGAATTCGTATACTCGATTGAACTTGCAAAAAAGATGTACACAACTATAATTCCAGAAGCTATTCTCAAGATCATGATCAAATCGTTATCATTATACTTACTACCTTTTTGTATGTTTATCATCTGAACAGGTATGTTTGATTTCTTTTTCCCTTCCTTTCCTCTTCCTCATCTCTGTTTATCTTCATCCCACCATCATCAATTTGGCTAATATATGCTTGACTTAATCCTCCAAAACAACAGTTTGATCAGTCAGGTCGTGCGACTGAAGGCCTGGCTTTCATTTCCTATCATAGTGAAAGTCATGCCGCCGATGCCATCAAAGCTTTCAATGGAGCTTCTGCCAAGGGTGTGTTTTGATCTACTTTACTCGATCTTTGTTACGATCTGATGTTTGTTTACTGATCCTCTGATGTTCTTCACCTCTTCATTAGGTCAACCGATTGGATTACGATACGAATTCGGTATGCCTCTTTGGGTTTGCTCATCACTAGGTTTGGTACCCAACAGAGCTGCTGGCTCGCTTCCGAATAAAGCCTCGGGTCTTCTTGGTCGGATTCATCAAGATCGGTAGGCACATTGATGCTCCTTATTCCAGTCATCTTACCGTCTCCGATGTTGATATTTTCTTTCGTTTTAGCTCAATCAAAAGAGTTAACCCATCACCGTACGAGAATGATCGATTCAAGAACTCAAGGTCTTCATTCCCACCCACTGGACCTAGAGGATCTGGTGTAAGAGATTTCCGATCAAGTAGAGGTTCAAGAGATCATCATCAACATGGACATGGGCATGGACCGATTTGGTCATCTAATGGACCTTCTCATCGTGGAAGAGAGATGAGAGGTGGCGGAATTGATCGAAATAGAGGAGGAGGTAGATCTGGAATGAAGAGTGCTAAAGATTTAGACAAAGAACTTGAAGCATTTATGGATACTACACCTCAAAGTAATTCAAAAAGTACAGAATCTAAGAATTTAGGAGATGTTCAAATGTCAGAATAAACAAAAAGCTCACCTTATATGATTTGTTATTGTATTTGATCATGTCTGTCATACAAAGATTGTGTCTTTTTCAAACAAAAAAATCGTTTCATTGGGATTGGAAAAGTTTTGAGAGGTTTTCATTTCGTCATCATTAGGAGTTTGTGTTTCTGTCTTTTTTTGTGGTACTGTTTAATTAAAGTTCATATACAGTAAAGTCTCTGAACTCGTTTTGCCATAGCATTCTTCCGTCACTCATATACCATTGATGCTTGAATTGTTTGAGTTATAAATTGAGGATCAAACAACTGCACTTTGAAGATCTACCCAAACTGAATGAATGAATGGCTTTTGCAAACTTTGATCAACATTGGAATTCAACCCAAGCACTTGAATGTGATGCACAACATGAAATGATTTGAAATATAAACAACTAACAAATACCATCAAACACCTTTGAAACCAAAAGATCCTTTTACAACAAGACTAGAGTACCAAGAGAGCTCGAGGAAAAAAGAGAAGCGACTTGAAAAGGATGATGTTGTTTTTTTTTCTTAATCAGAATTAGAAGAACCAAGATCAGATTGATCATTTTCATCAATTACTTCATCTTCATCTAAAACCAAATCAGTTTCATCTAAACTTAATTCAGCTTCTGCATTTGTTAAACATCTTTTTAATTCTTCATCTTCTTCATTCTTTGTATTTGATGTTAATGAATTTAACATTTCTAATGGAGTTTGATGAAATTTATTTTTAATTCTATAAACCAACCAACCAACCCACCAACATCCCCCCCGCCCGACAACAAAAGAAAAAGACACCAAAGTAGAGTAGAGGTGAATATTGGATTCTTTTTTCAAAAAGAAAAAAGAAAAGTCTTACGTTGGATTGGATCCTGCTTCAATTAAAGATTTTGAAATTAATAACCGATGGTTTGGATTTGAGATTTGAATTGAAGCATGTAAAGGAGTTAAACCTTGAAAGTTTAATAAATCAACATCTGTACCTTCATGTTCTAAAATCAATTCTAAAACTGTTGGTGAACAATTTATCACACTTTTTTTGATTGATAAATTTAATTCGGGATGGAAAAGAGAATCGGTTTGATGCTTAGATGTTTTGATGATGGTTCTTTTTTGGAAGGGCTTTTTTTGGGTGTTTGGAAAGAAAAACTTACGCATAGTGTAGAGCTGTATTACCTAACTGAAGGTTTTGCGAAAACCCCGAAAGAAATATCACCGATCACAAAGAAAGCCAAAAAAGCAAACAAACATGAATTCATGAAACCATCAATCTTGGAGTGTTCTGTCATTTTTTTCTTCCTAATCGAGTTGTAGAAAAAGAAGTTTTCAACATACCCCATCTGCAAAATTTATATCATAACCACCTTTTGATTCTAATTCATAAAACAATTCATCTAAATCTTGTTTTGCAGCAAAAAGTAATTGTTCATCTAACAAATCAAATCCAAGAAACGAAATTTGGTTAATTTGGTTTGATTTGATACTTTTTTTTTCGGTTGGGGTTGTTTGAAAGTTATATATAAAACTTACTTACTTGGACTTGCACCTTGGTCTTGGTTTTCTACTTCTTGAACTTCTTCTTTTGGATCGGTCATGATCTTTTGATGGTTTACTTCGGTTGAGATGTGTTGGAGTGGTGCGATCAAGGGTTTTGGAATTCTTTGACGTGTTCGATTTGAAGGTGAGCTTGTTGCTGTTGGAGTTGAAGTTGAGTGGTGCGATTGTCGATGAGTTGTAAACAGTTCAATCAATACTCGAATTACATATCAGTTGTGTTGATCGGGACCGACTCGGACTTTTATCTCTGGGCCCTCCCGCACACTGCCTCATGAAGATTCAAGGTGCAAGCTCTATAAAGCAAAAATACACTTTAAAAAAAAAAAACGGTGCAAGCTCTCAATAATCAAAGATCACCACGTTCAACCTTCACATAAAAACCCATCTTGATGAAGGTCTAAAGCAAGGCTTCAATCCCACTCCTACCTACTATTATAATATCTTATTCCAACTACCATTCCTTGGTTTCATCCTTTTGATCAAGCAACTAATTATATAAATGTCAGTCTGCCTTACTTTATGAGATAATAATGTTGCTATAAATATTTGAAGGTATTCTACACAACTCAAGAGAGTTGAATCAAGTTCAGTGGAAGAATCATTGATCACATAGAGGTCAAGAAATCATGAACTTGCATAAATATGTCATACATCAGAATGATTTTACTATTCTACATATATTCCACATGTATAATTGCGGTACACAAACTTGAACACTCAACCTAAAATCCCATGGACAAAACCCATGACAACCTGAATGTTTTTGGGGTTTTGTCCATTGGTAATCCACTTCTCTGTTGGACAAAACCAAAGAAACAATTGGGTTGTCATGGGTTTTGTGCAAGGGTTTTTAGGTTGGGTGTTAAAGTTTGTGTAACACTATATTAATAGAATCTTGCTATTTGCTTCTTGTTGGCAGCGCCTGCATAGGTGCTCCAAAGGAGCACCTACACATGGGAATTCCTCAAAAGGCTGCCTGCCTGTCCAAATTTAGTTTTTATAGACATATAGGTGCCTTATTTCTGGATCCTACAGGTTCAGAAACCTAGGCAGACGTTGAAAATTGAGGCCTACATTTGGAAAGCACATGTAGCCACAGAAATCCAGCACCTACATGGGTATTTCAACATGCAGTCACCAGAAATCCAGCATCTACATGGGTATTTCAACATCTAGGCGCCAGATCTCAGTTCCTACATAGACTTGGTGGATGTAGTCGTCATTTCAGGGCGCCTAAATGTTGCAATACCCATGTGAAAGCAGGTTTCCAGCGCCCACCATCATAGGTAAGTGTGAGAAACCATCTGTTTGGGATAAATGTAGGTTTTTCCTAAGCCTATCTGCATGAACCAAAGATTGTATGTGCTGATTGGTAAACCTAAAGCCAAATTTTCACTTGTATAGAGAGAGCTATATGGGTAACAATCAAACATGAGTATTGAAGTGGTCAACATAGACAAGAAAATCAAATCCAAGTAATCCAGTGCTCAACAAAGACAAGAAATTAAAATCCAAGTATTCCAGTGGTTGGAAAAGACAGACAAAGTGAATCCAAGTATCCCAATGGCTGGCAAAGCTGTACAAACAAAACTCAAGTAACTTGGTAAGCTTAACTAAACTCCTCTTTCAACACAACCACACCTAGTCAACTCCCTCTAATTACATACAGCTTGGGGGGGGTGGTTTTCTCATCCACTTAAAGGAATATGCACTTATAGACCTCATTTTGGTTGGAAAACCCATTTTTTGGTGGCAAAAGATCCTATGCACATAGAGAATTATGCACTTACAGGGATATCAACTTAGAGGGAGTTGACTGTATTGTTAAAGAAGGGCTTATGACCAAACCGTGGGCTTTGGCCTGATCATAACAAGTTCTTCACGTGAGTTTTGTTTGAAAGCTGGTTTTGAGGGATCTAAACAATATACAACCTTACAAAATAAATTGAATAGAGCTTGTGATAAGTTCTTCTTACACATTGCTCATGCCAGTTTTAACACCAATTTTTTTGAACAAAGTAATATGGTTGATCAGGTGTTAAGGTTTTGTAAATCTAGGTTTTGTTCTATCCTACATTACTGGGCCTATATGTGTACTTGAACCACTCAAAATCATTTGATCTTCAAGTCTATATAATTTTCTTGAAATCAATAACTTTTGACATACCAAAAGTGGTGAGGTGACACATAAGAACTCACAGGAGCTCTTCTGATTTTTTTCTGAGGTTTGCTGATGTTTAGAACCCTCAAAACAAGCTTTCAAACAAACATGATTCAACTGTTCATGTGCTCAGACCAAACCCAGGGTTCTAGTCATAAGATCTTCTTTGAGAGCAGATATGGCCGTTTCAGAAGAAAGGTTTAGTTAAGCTTATAAGTATCTTGGTAGTCAGTAAAGACAGGAAAAGTCAAAGTATTTTGTCATTGATCAGATACTAAACCACTGTATCGTCTGTTTTTCATTGGTGAATTTTGAAGTTTAATCTACTTCAAGGTAATAAAAGCTTCATTATCTGTTTCTCAATGTCCAACATATCATGAAATAGCTGTACTCAAAATTTGCTTCAGTCATCTTGACCAACCACTCAAATACTCTTTACTTTACTCTTTACTTGTCCTGTCTTTGCTGCCCACTGGCATCCTCACATTCACATACTTGTCCTGTCTTTGCTACCCACTCAAATACTTGTATTTACTTGTGCTTCCTTTGCAGGTCATCAGCAGTATTTACTTGTCTAATCAAATATTACACACACCCACTGATTATCTAGGCATCATTTCTGGATACATGAAACATGAATTTCTTTGAACAGCTGTAAACTCTGTTTGACAGATTTTTTTGTGAATCAATCAAACCTTTCATAACCCCAAAAAAATACCGCCTGGTTCAAACTCCTAAAAAACCCAAAAAAAACTCAAACTTCAGTCCTCTTCTTAAGTCAGCCAAATGTATGAATCAAATTTTCTTGAATTTTTATTCTTTTCAAAACTTTTCAAAACTTTCAATTTTTTTTTTCTTACAACATAAATCTTGATATATATATACGTATATTATAACAAAGTTAATTAAGATAATAAAAGAATGAAAAAAAGTAATCGAAAACAAAAGTGAAAGGAAAAGAAAAAACGAATGTTCTTGGAATGAAGATGGATAGAAAACGATTCAAAGGATAGAAAAAAAAGAAAGATGTATATAAAAAAAGAAAGATATGTATGACAAAAAAAGATATGTATGAAAAAAAGTTTGGTAGTTTGAAATGAATTGTCAAAAGAGAAGAAAAAGTAATAGTTATACAAAGATATCAAACCCACCCCACCAACATTAACTTTTTTTTGCTTTGCTTCATAACGCACCAAAAAAACACAATAAACAAAACATGAATTTTTCGAAAGAGAGGAAGAGAGAGAGATTTATCTTAATAATAACGAATCACCAGGTTTGATTTCGATCCGATTTAAATCTTTTAAAGACCTAGGTCTTTGATCCATTTCCGTAAACTTAGACTGAAGTAAATTCAACAAAGCTCTAGGATGTCTAAGCACATGTAACCTAAGAGGATAATCCAACAAATCCAACCATTCAAACTTGAGATCTTCTTGAAACCCAGAAGAAGCGGTAGAAGAAGGAATCCGAAACTTGGGCGGGATTTGTTCAGGAAACTTAGATTCGATTAATGTTTTATTCCTTTCTAATAAATTGATTAATAACTTTAAAGGTTTTAAATCTAAATGATTATAGATTAGGATCAGTACTGATTTCGAGTTGAAAGTGTTATTGAACTTATTGATAGGTTTTAGTGAGTTTAATCGATTGGAAATTATCCTACACCATTCTTGAATCGAGATTTCGTTTGGATGATTCGATCCTCTATAAATAGGTAAAGCCGTATTCAACAACACTTCATTTCCGAATCCTTCTAGTAAATCGAGTCGAGATTCTTGTTTGTTTAGTAAATCAATCAAGGTTTCGATCCTGATTTGTTGAATGGAATGGGTAGTCAAAGTTGAAGAAGTACTACTGAGTGTACTACTACTACTACTACTACTACTTAGGGTTGGTGAGGAGCTTGGGATGTAGGATAGGTTCGAGATTAGATCTTCTTCTTCTCGATCTGTTGCGTTCAAGGGACTCTCTGGTTCTTCTGTGTCTGATAATGTGAATTGAAACGAATCAATGGTTTCTTTTAATAATTTGTTTTGTCTTGCTACTTCTGAGAATAGTTGACTTGGATTCATTTGATGAATGATGGTTTGGGTTTGGATAAGACTGTCTGTGGGTTAAGTTAATGGTGATAAAGTTGAAATTCGAATAAATGTTCTGAGAAAGTAAACAAAAGATTGGTTTAGTGATGATTGGGTTTTAGGATAGGATTGAATCACTAACATTTAGTGATGGTGATTATTAGATTTTAGATTTCATAAAGTGTGAATCGAATGATGAAGAGAATTGAGTTGATTAAGAGTTGGACTGGATTGATTTGAATTTAAACTGATTTCACATTTAAGCTAGTCAAGTAAATTAAATCGTAAATGGCTTTGAAGTTTGAGTATATGAGTTATATGACTTGAAGTGATGAGGTTTGATGGTATACTAGAAGATTATAGATATGATGGTGAATGATGGTGTTTGTTTGTTTATCGATTGGAAGTTACATGACTCTTTCTCTTTGATTTAAAGTTTAGATTCAATTCAATTCAAATCTCATCGTTGAACTTGATCATCGTTTCACGTATGTACACAACTTCTCGCTTGTAAAACTTTAAAAATTAAAAAAAGATGTCTTCAAATCAACCAAACGCACGGAATCAACCTTTCGCTTCGACGGAGAATTTAAATCACAAATTCAAGCGTTGTTCAACAAAAATTCAAATCGACTCTCGCATTTCCTCGCATTTTTTCGAACATCACGGAGCTGCACCGACGGAGCCAAGTATCGGCTGTGTAAGTATCCGAGGTCAGTCCCGTGTCCGGCATTACGGGTCCCGAGATCATCAGTCTTGACTCTTGATTGCAAATCTTGAAAAGGTTAAACGTCAAGCTCGTTTGTTTCGTAAGTTGCCGATTCAAAAGTCAGGATTTTGGTTGTCACTTCTCAAACTACATAATCCTTGCGCTTGGTTCAGGAATGGTACGGCTTGGGTATATATGCTTGGTCAGCATTCGATCAGCATCAGTCGTGTCAAATATGTCTGATTTGTAAGATTTCCCTTCAAAACTCGGCTGATTTTAATCACACTGCTCATATTGATGTTTGCTTTATTGGGGTAGGTTAGGGCTTGTTAGGCTTTGATAGGCCTTGTTAGGCTTTTGTGATTTGTTAGGATTGATTAGGATTCATTATCATGGGTCAGGATTTATTAGGATTTGTGAAGGCCTTGTTAGGCTTGGTAGGCTTGTTAGGCCTGGTAGGCTTTGTTAGGATAGGTTAGGATAGGTTAGCACTGGTGGGCCAAGGGTTGTTTAGGGGTTAGGCTTGGTCAGGGCAGTTTTTTCCTATTCTGTTCATTCTGTGATCCAATTCCCAAGACTATGTAGACAAAAGCTGATTGCATCTTGTAGGATTGGTTAGGATTAGGTGAGGCCCAAGGGTTTGGTCGACCGGTTTGGGATTAGGATAAGGGGCAGTTTTGCTCTATATCATTTCATTTGTATGATATGTACCCAGAAATTGTAGACCAAAATATGTCATTCCATATCACTGAAAACTCAATAATCTCAAGAGTAGTCAAATTTCAGGGTGAGTATTGGGGATTATGTGCAAGCAATCATCATTTTGACACAGCATATTTGGTTTGAAGGACTGAACTAATATCACTTGGATCTTTTAATGAGGCTTTAGACACAAAGGGTATCACCAAAATGTCTAGACTGAATTTTCTTGCAAAAGAAATAAGAATTTACATTTGTTGTGGATGAAAGACATTTTCACTCTGGCCAATATCTTCAAAGGTTTGTAACCACATTCGCATAACCATGTTGTAGGAATCTTCTGGTGGAACATGTGCACCATGAACACTGAACATGACAAAGAATGTTGGTGCAATAGGTTTTTGGAGCAAGTGTTTTTGGTCTTTGATTATATTTCTCAGGAATCATCTTGTTCCCATTCCCTTTAAATAATCATTCAGCAACACTATTGACCACAAGTCTTCACCCAAGTCATCTTTCTATCTGTTTGAATCATCAATTCTGAATTTCAAAATGACATCAAGACTTTTTGTATAAAATTATTGACTTGGATTCTTATGTAGCTGAATTTATGGGATATGGAGGTATGTAGTCTCAAGATAAAAAGAAGCCAAACCCAACTTCCAGGTTGCTTCTTCATAGGTTATCCTGAGATTTGATAAGCAACAGAAAGGTAAAGCACAGCAAATCTTGCAGTGCACTGCTATGACATATTCTCTAGATGATCTTCACACCCTTGGGATCTGTATTTTTTGATATCAAGATCTTTTTCTTATGGATCCTCTCTCAAATTCATCACAGCAGACATATCTTGTCAATACCAAACCCTCTTGAGGCCATTCAAAAGCTCAGGTTTCAAATTGAGACTGCAAGAGTTTTTTGGAAGGGAAAACTTGCATGAAACCGGATCTTGATCATCTTCAATATGACTGTGGTAGAGCCTGAGGATCTTACTACAATTTTCACTGTGGACTGGCTCAGCAGACCTTGTGGTGATGTCAAAATTGATTGGACTTATGCAGTGCACATCCGGTCTAAATATCCAGAAATCAACCTTCTGCAGGCCTGGCCAAAGGGCTTGAACTCTGGAGTTGAATTAACTATTGTACTTGATACAACTCCCACCATTGGTGATAATGAAAGCCTGGTTGATTCAACCCCTACAAAAGATACTAATAGGACTTCAAACACACTCATGAAGCCCATCTCACTTCTTCCTCTGATGGGCCACCCATCTCCTGTTTTGGTCCTTTAATCAAAGCCTCTGTAACAACCCTGTGCCAGCAACGCACCGGGCCACAGAACGCATGTTTTTTTGTGCATTGCTCCGCAACACGCAAAAAGACTCAACGGCAGACGCTGCATTGCGGTAAGTACCGCAACAACAAAAGGTTTGGCTGGGTTTTGCGGCGGTCAAGGTGTTGCGCAACACAACAGGTGCAACACGCCAAAAAAATGTTGAATTTTGATTTTTTTGGGCAGTAACACAACAAATGTTGTTGCAACCCAAAATAACTCAAAATTTGACACATCTTGTTGTGCAGCGGGTCAGGCTGCAACTTTGAAATTGATTTCCTGCTGTGGTGTGGTCAGAAAAACCGCAACACAAGTGCAGCGCAGCATGCAACACCTGTGTTGCTGGCCCAGGGTTGGACTGTAATGTGTCCTATTGATGTAGAAGATCAAGCAGTGAGTTCCTGTGGATGTCTCACCTTCAAACTCACCAACACACATTGTTCCCATATGTTTGTGGTCTCAAACAAATTGGGGATACCAGTCATGTGATCCAACTTGCTCAGCATTGGATCCTGAAGTCCCAACAATCACATGCAAGCTTCACAGTGGCCGTAATTTGGTCATTGAGTGCACTTGTCAAGTTTTTGCCTGCAAGGGGAATCAAGTTCATTCCTTATAAAACTGTTTTACCTATTGGTGGAGTGTTAAGGCTCAGGGTTGGGTCTTTGGGACTGGAGTGAGGAATCCTGATACTGTCTAGTCCTATTACGAGATTGTCGGATGAAGGAAAAGGAACAACATCTAGCTAGTGGTGTGTATACAATATAGTGTTCAATCTGTGATATGTATGTGTTAGACCTTTCACAGACGGACTCGTAACATTATCCCGCCTTTAATGCCCAAGCTCCCTTTTGCAAGCTCTGCAATCTCCCCCCCCCGGGCAGCGTTAAAAAACCACTTGGGAAAAAGCTTAGCCCTCTCACATTCTTCTCCGTGCCTTTTTCTTCTTTTCAGTGTTAGGAAATCGCTTCTTGAATTCTTTTAATAAATCTTTACAATTCTTGAGGTTTGATTCTGGTTCTCACGAGTCGTGGCTTGAATTAAATCCTGTCCAATTCACTAAATACTCTTTTCTGTTTCTTCTTACTCTACAATCCAATATTGCTGAGACTTCCCATTCGTCTTCACCTTCAATTTCAATTGCTGGTCTCTCGTCCTGTACCCGTTGTTCGATTGTATCTGGATTGTGCTTGCGTAAAAGTGAAACGTGAAAAGTATTATGTATCCCCTTCATAGAGAGTGGAAGGTTTAGCGCGTAAGCAGTGCTTGAGATTACTTTACTGATATTGAAAGGACCAAGCCATCAATGTCCTGATTTGGGGCTTGGTCTCGTGGTTGTAATATTTTTTGAATCTAACCAAACTTCATCTCCCTCTTTCCATTTTGGGTTTTGTCGTACATGCTTGTCAAATTGGTGCTTCATTGATTCCTGTGCTAATTCTAAACAAACTGTCAGTTCTTTTTGAACGTCCTGAATCAGTTTTAGTCGTTCTTCTACTAAAGGGATGCATTGTTCTGACGACGGGATTAGGTTAAACATTGGGTTGAATCCGTAGTTGGCCTTAAAAGGCGATACTCCTATTGACTCGTGGTCCCGGTTGTTGTACACAAATTCTGCCGTTGGAAGCAGTGCTTCCCAATTTTCCTGTCTGTAGTCAACAAAATGTCGTAAGTAAGCTTCAATTTCTTTATTCACTATCTCCGATTGACCATCAGTTTGAGGGTGGTACGCTGTTGAAGGATGTAGTTTAATACCCAATCTCCTATCCAATTGTTGAGTGATTTTGGATACGAAGATGCTGCCTCTATCTGATACTATACTCTTTGGTGTACCGTGTAACTTCCACACGTTGTTGATCATCAAATCCGCTAATTCTTCTGCCTTCATGGTTTCTTTACAGGGGATAAAATGAGCCATTTTAGTAAGTCGATCCACCACAGTGAGTATACTATCGCATCCGTTGGAGATTGGCAGTTTTGTGATCAAGTCATATGATATGTCGGTCCAAGGCCCAGCCGGTATCGGTAGTGGTTGTAAGGTTCCGAATGGTTTCTGTGTCGAAGATTTGATTCGTAAACAGGAATCACATCCATCTACGTACCGGTTGACGTAAGCTTTCTGTGAAGGCCAGGTAAAACACCGTTTTGTGAGACTGAGCGTTTTATTCCGTCCTGGGTGTCCTGCTAGGAGTGTATCGTGTCGGCTTCGTAATATGTTGAACTTGACGTTGTCATCATTTGGTACTTCTACTTTGCCGTGTCTGTATAAGATTCCATCCTTCACTTCGTACATCCATGTGAGTTTCTTCATATTGGCAGATATGGGATTTGTGACTGATTCCATGAGCGTTGTAATTTGTTTGTCCGTTGGGTTGGCTTCTCGTATCAATTCTAAAATCTTGATGTCACTCAGCACTCCGTCGGTCTCCTCTGGCTTGGCTTCGATGTCTGAGCATCCCATCACGTCAATTTCGAACCACTTCTCGGCATCTTCTAGGTCAATTGATTCGTCTAAGAAGAATGAGTCAATGTTAGCTGAATCGGTGGTAAACGTATCAGGTCCAATGTTTTCGGGTTTCAGTAGTTGTCCAAATGTTAGTCTTTCAGCCTCTGAAGGCTTAAGATCGGGCCTCCGAGATAGTGCATCGGGTTTATCAGATTTCCGTCCTGGTCGAAATTTAATAACGAAGTCAAAGCAGCCAGGTGTTTCTGCCCATCTTGCTTGTCGGCAAGTGAGTTGTTTGGTAGTCATGAAGGTTTCCAAATTTCGGTGATCCGTGTACACTATCACTTCGAGTCGGTTTGGGTTGCACTCAAGGTAGTGGCGCCATTCCTTGAAAGATGCTACAATTGCCAATAGCTCTTTGTCAAAGATTTTGTAATTTCTTTCTGCCTGTACCAGTGACCGTGATAGATAAGCCACTGGGTGAATTTCGCCATTGTCATCCGATCTCTGTGAAAGGATAGCGCCTAGCGCGAAATCAGAGCAATCGCATTCTAGTATGAAGGGCCTGTAGGGATCCGTGATTTTCAGAATGGGTGCTGACGTGAATGCAGTCTTGAGTTTTTCAAAAGAGGTTTCGCAGGCGTTATTCCAAACATAAGGTTTGTTGAGCTTTGTCAAGTCATGAAGTGGTTGTGTTGTCTTAGAGAATTGGTCTATAAACCTCCTGTAAAAGTTAGCAAAGCCAATGAACCGTTGGAGTTTGTTTGTGTTCTTAGGAGCTGGCCAATCCTTCACCGCTTTCACTTTTGCGGGGTCCATCTTGACTTTGTTCTTTGAAATTAAGAGGCCAAGGTATTCGACTTCAGATCTTGAGAACTCGCATTTTTCGGGTTTGAGCCAAAGCTGATGTTTGTTGAATATGTCCAACACGCTGTCAACCGCGCTTTCGTGGCGAACTCCCTTCTTCGTATAGATCATCGTATCATCGAGATACGCAGCAGTGTCCTTGCCTATTCGTCCTACCATGATGTCTTGAATGAAAAACTGAAAGTAACCAGGGGCTCCTGTAGGTCCGAACGGCATCGTTAAGGGCGCAAACTGTCCTTGTTTGCAGATGAATGCCAGTATGTCTTCGGATTCTTCCTTGACGCGTAGGTTACCATATGCATTGCGCATATCTAGTTTGGTGAACCGATCCGCATCTAGCAGGCTATCAACTAGGTCCATCGTCAGAGGCAGTGGATATCGGTTCTTCACCGTCAAAGCATTCAGTCTTCGGTAGTCAAAACATGGGCGTAGATTGCCGTCTTTTTTCCCGGTGAAAAGCACTGGCGCGGCCCATGGGGATGTCGTCCTCCTGATGGTGCCGTTGTCTAAACCTGTCTTGATCATTTCGTCTAGGACCGCCTCCTCTGCCGGTGATAGGGGAATGATCCTACCGGCTTGAGGTTGTGCACCTGGCACCAAATCCACCCGGAAATCATACTTGCGTCTAGGAGGTAGGCATTGGGCCTTTGACTTCTGAAAGAGATGGAGGTGACGATGGTAATACGTTGGTACCATTTCCTCAACGGTCTTGGCAGGTAGTTTTGCCTTCTCATCTGCAGCTATTCTGGCCAAAGTCGACCACGAGGTTTTAGCCGTATCGATGATAAGGGGCCTGTTTTGGAAATGTAAGGGCTGGCCAGCTGTTTCTATGGCATGGGGGATTAAACCGTGATTGAACTCACATTGCGGGGGCTGATGCACATCAATATTGATAGCGGCCCCCTTGTCACATTTCCTAGCGTGCCCTTGCGGCTCCAATCCTGGCTTGAAAAGGGATTTTTTCGGATTGGACGAAGCTGTCGCAACAGCTGCATAGGACAAACTTGAAGGGCCACTCGGGTCATTTGGACAATTCACGATGTTCGATGTTCGAATACGGTCAATCTGTGATATAGGAGGAGATACTGGCTTGCCAGCTGCTTCAACGGGTAAGGGATTATGGGCTGGGGCGGACTCACACTGCGGGGATGCTAATGTATCAGAAATGGTACACATCCCCTCGTCACTGTGCCTAGCGTCCCTCGTGGGCTCAACTTTGTGACCAAACGGGGTTGTGTGCGGCGTAGACGAAGCTGATGAATCAGCTGCAGCGTGCTCCTGAGTCTCTTCAATCTGTGGGTTGGACTGTTGAAGGTTTTTGATAACATGAATGGGGTTGTTGAGGGTAGTTGTTGTCGGTAGCGTTCGAGGGGTCGTTGGGATCTGTGAATTTTGGGGAGTATAAAGCTTGCTAGCTGTTTCGGTGAACATCTGGGGAATGGTCATATCGTACTCACATTGCGGGGGCTGATGCATATCAATTGTGACAGCGGCCCCCTCGTCAAAGTTCCTAGCGTCCCTCCTGGGCTCCAGACCTTGGGCTTGCGAGGGTGGTTGCGGAGTTGACGAAACTGCAGATGCAGTCGCAATGTCGTGGTGATACGAGCTGACTGTACCTGTCTGCCAATTTATGCGTCGATGGTTCTTCTTGATCCATGGAATGCCGAGAATTCCGTCATATGAGTCTTTGATACGCGTGATGATAAAATGGGTCGGTTCGGTGTCATGGTCCAGAAATAGGTTGGTTTCGAAAGAGGCGTGGCTTCTTGAACCGTCGAATCCTGTCACGACTTGTGTTGCACACACTGCGTGGTTGATAAGACCAGTCTTTTGGGCAAAAGTCTCACTCAGCACGTCGTGCGTGGCACCTGAGTCTATAAGAAAGTTAGGAAATAAGGGATTGGTTGATGTGGCGCGTGGGTAATTGGATGTTGATAATGAACATTGGAGGAAAACACGTGGATCGTTTGCATTGCACGTTAAGATTCTACTTGCATCAAGTTCAATTTCAGCTATTACCCCACAATTGCTCAGGATAGGCACATCGCTCAGGCCTGAGCACCGCCATTTTTTGACGATTCAGCACAACTAGTTGTAGTAATCACATCTCCATCGCTTTTACTTCCTAACGCACTTAGTTTAAATTCTAATTCCGCGATACGGGCTTTATAACCTCCTCTATCCTTTCCTTTATCAGTTCTTCTACTAGAGCATTCATTCGCCCGATGACCCTGTTGATTACATTTAAAGCATGAACCGGATCTCATGCGCCTGGCCTTCTCCTCTTCTGACAACCAAACAAAACCTGAAGATATGTCCATAGCATTAGGGTCGGGTGCGTGAAATGTGACTGTGGACGAGTTGGCTACACCGTGTATCTTGCTGTCAATCTTAATAGCCATGTTTGCAATCTGTTCGATGCTACTGAACTCTTCTTGCATCATAACCATAGCCACCCGGATTTCTCTTTTCAATCCTTGTTCGTATTGACTGACAAGTGTAGAGGTTTCCCAACCCGTGGCTGACACGTGAATATTAAACTCGTGAGTATAGGCTGCTACAGACGTCTTCTGCGTAAGCGCTCTGATGGCTCGCTCTGCCTTCGACTTCTTTTCGGAGTCGAAGTACATTGCTTTAAAGTTGGTCACGAAGCGATCGAAGGTGACGGTGTGGCTCGTGTTGGCGTCAAAAAGTTCAAGGGTGAGGGGCTGGGCCCAGCTGCTCGCGGCACCGGTTAAGTAGGAAAGAGCAAACGCGACTTTGCTACGGTCGTTGGTAAACAAATAAGGGTGGGCTAGCATATAAAGCTGAATCTGGCTGGCAAAAAATTCAGCCGGCCCGCCCCTAGTCCCATTAAATTTATCCGGGACAGAGACCTTTGGTCCTCTAGGGGTAGCAGCGGGCATCGCAGGTTGCGCGGCAGTCTCAGAAGCAGGTTCGGAGGTCTGAGCAGGGGTTTGAGGTGTCTGGTTGGCTGCGTCAGTGGCCTGGGTTGCCTCAATCGCAGCGAGCCTGGCCTCGGCATTCAACGTTCGAACTTCAGCCTCAAGGCGTAGTCGACGTTCTTCCTGGACCGAATTTGTGAGTTCAGTCAGTTGACGTTGTAATTCTTCCATCAGATCGGGGTTAACGCGGCTAGATGGTTCAGTGATGATGAGTGTTCCGGTAAATTCGTCGGCGTCTACGAACGGAGTGGGCGTTTCGGGTTTGGAATCGTCTTCCCCGTGACTGGGTGATCTAAATGTGGGCGACGTGCTGCAGGTGTTCAATTAAGTAAGCAAATAAGGTTGCGGGGGGATCTTGCGGCAATGATATGCAGTCTAAATCTTGAATTTCTTTCTAATTCTAATCTTAGTTCTGATTCTGATCTTGTTTTTTCTTTCTTCTAAACGTTCGTTCTTCTTTTTGATTCTTGCAATTTATGTCCTCAGTCCGTCGATAGGGATCCGACAATATGTTAAGGCTCAGGGTTGGGTCTTTGGGACTGGAGTGAGGAATCCTGATACTGTCTAGTCCTATTACGAGATTGTCGGATGAAGGAAAAGGAACAACATCTAGCTAGTGGTGTGTATACAATATAGTGTTCAATCTGTGATATGTATGTGTTAGACCTTTCACAGACGGACTAGTAACATGGAGTTTAGTAAACCATAGAGACTTTGTGTTCCCCTCTCTGAGACACTCCTTTCTACCAACAAAATTTCCAAGGAAACCAAGGAATACTCTTTCATGTTCCTTCTGAAGTCCAGGATTTTGAAGTGTTGTCAAAGGTTTTGACCTGTATTTGAAAACTGAGAGTGGTTTATACATACAAGGCAAATTCAACAAAAGCCTCAAACTTCAAAGGAAAGTAGAGGGAGGAGTCCTTGAAGTCCTTGGAGTAATTTTTTAATAAATTGATGTGCCTCAGAGAGGCAAACAAAAAAATTCTTTGCCTCATGGAAATCAACAAATGGGAAAAAGTGTAAGGAAGCCAGATGATCTTGTACAAAAACTCATTCCCCTCACAGGCCAAAGTGTGCCTCTTCGTCATACGTCCCTTGCTGCACTCAAAGCATGTGAGAAGCAGTGTGGGACTTGGATAAGTTTACTTTGAAGTTCTACGGGGTCATGTTTGGTTTACAGATCTTGTTCTCATTCTCATTCTCATTCTCATTCTCATACCCAATCTCTGGCAACCCCGTGATGCTCTCATCTGCTCTCATCCAAAAATTGACAAAAGATTTAAAACTTAAACTAATGTTCAAATCAAATTAACTAATTAATGATCAATTTTGTGTATAGATCAAACATTACTCAATGAGGGAGTGAAATATTATCATTTAAATAAATTCATTTGGATCATCTGAAATGAGAAAAATGTTGAAATGATTTACTACTCGAGGTTGGTGTTCGATTAACGGAGTGGAATATGTTAGGATGGAGTTACATGACAAACGTCAACTGGAAGTCGCCGAATGATTGTAGTATCATGTCGAAAGCGGATTGGGGAAGCTTCAAAGTGTGGCAGGAAGACTTACACCCCAATGGGCTGAGTACGAAGCAGTAGTGGAATCTCAACTGTGCAGGATAGGTCCAATAGTATTCGAATCTCAACTTTCCTTTGCCAACTAGTTGTATGCTCAATCCCCAGATCCACATCTCCATAATCACACACGCGTTTCAAAGCTCTATTACATCAGTCCACTTTTCTGCGCGTGAAGATTTCCATCGTTAGGATTGTTAATTTTTTTTTTCTAGCCCATCCACCCATCAGAAAAATAAAAAAAAATATAAACGCGAAAAATTTATTCATAATATAATTCCTTTTTTTCCTCATTTTACATTTTTTAATTTAGTTGATAAGTTTTTAAGAAAAAAAGTACATCCAGAGTCTCCTTTAAAAAGTCTTATTTTAATTATTATAATCGTGTTTTTTTCCATCTATATGTGTGAAGCAGAAAAATTGTTTACAGAATAAAGTTGTAAGGCCTCAGGCCTCCCCAACAGGGGTCTTTTCGTTTTGCTCAAGTTTCAAGATAGTAGCAATTCATAAGATTCCGTTCGTGCGTGCAGTCGGCACCACTCCGCGTACTTCCCAAGAGTCCCGAAAGCCAGTGAGAGAGTCGGATCCTTCCGCATACTTATTTCAGTCTGCATCTTTCTTTAATCAAACTTGATGGATTTCCAAAACATAAAATTCTATGCTAATATATCCAGCATACACAGCCTTATAAGCATCTCGCCTTGAAATTTTCTCATCTCTACTTACTAAGTAGGCAGTATATAGTTTGTACACTACAACTTCTTAATCTGTGGCTTCTTTTGATCCATTTCTCAGAAAGTGTTAGGCATTAAAAGGTACAACAGTCTCAATCCTATTTCATTTAGTGTTGAATGATCTTTAAAGTGGATCCTATCTATTTTCTTTTGGTTTACCTCGCTCTAGTTTAACAACCTGTTTTGTTTCTTTTCTCAAAAACAAAAGGTCCTAAACAATGAAATTCTTTCATCTCTTTCTCTATAATCTCAAAGATAATTTATTAGGTTAAGGTTATATATCTAATTTGAATCATGGATCTTATATGAAAGACTAGAGTGAGGAATAAAAAATATGTATACAGCATTCGAAATGAAGATATATATAAGTAAAGATACATTGGTGAAGAGAACAAACGCAGTAATTGATGAGGTGGTCGGATGACAATCAAACTGACTGATATAAATAAGATAACACTTAAAAGTGGAAAAATCAAAGATGAAGCATAAGAGAAAGACCAAAGTCTCAAGAACCACTTCGATCACTATGTACGATCACAACTTTGCAGACCCATGAGTTCTCTGACGTTGAAGTTGATTCAAGAAAGCATACATAGATTGTAATCGATTCAACTCCACTCCAAACCGTTTAGCGATCCTAATCGGAATAGCCAGAATAGCTTCGATCTCCAAGGGTCGGTTTTGTTCCCAATCCACTAACATTGAAGGTTTGATAGCTTCACCTTTGGCTCGAGTGATCGATTCCAAGATTTCTTCTGGACTTGCAAAACCAGTGGGCATGCTTTCGAGTTGGAAAATCACGCATGCTGCTCTGAGTACTTCTTTCATACATTCGGTTAGATGAATGCGTATGGCTGGGTCTGCTACCATTTCTGGGTTAGTTAGACCTCCACATAGGATTGAGGAAGGGTTCATCGAGGCACTAAGACGGATCAGAGCAAATCGAAAGTGGGGTTAGATTGATGATATAAACTATCAGAAGAATCAGAAATCTTACTTGATTGCAAGTTTATGCCATCTCACCAATTGTAAATCTCTTTCACTATAAACTTCTGCATCTTTTATCCCACCTTGTTTTAATAATTCAACTAAAAGGTCAATTTGATGAGTCGATTTGGTTTCTAGTTCTGAATTTTGATGGGTTTTACTTTTGATTTTTTGATCATCATACTCGAATTCAAGAAACGATCCAAGACTAATTCGTGTCCATCTATTCTGACGTACGACTCCTAGTTCGATTTGTTCAGCATTTACAACCGTCACACCACTTATAATTGGAACATTTGGAAACCTTTGACGATGAATAGTTTCGATTCCTACTCCATTTTGAATCAAAACTATTGTAGGATTTGATGATTGAGTAGTTGAATTAAATAAAGGTAATAAGATTTCAGAATCATTAATGTCTCCTATTAAAACTTTTGTACAAAGGATTACGAAATCCCATTTAGGTGAATTGTTCTTTGAAGCTGAAATCACAGATGAATACACTCGATATGGTTTAAACTCATAATCGCCAAATGATCGAGTTTTCATTGATAATCCATTTGAAGATACGTGTTTATAATTTGATCTACATGTTAAGGAAACCAATACGGGCCTTTGAGGGTGATTAGGTTGGTGAAGACGTGAGCCGTAAAAGGCCCCAATGGCACCTGTCCCAACTTCAAAGCCAATCCAATGGAATTTTACATTAAATCAATCAGTCAATGTTTACTGATTTGAGCCCGAGATCCTGATAGGAGTTGATAATGTTTGACATACCAATGAGAATATGAATGGGATCTGGTTTCGAAGTTGAAGGCTGAGATTGCGTAGACATGGCTGAGACCTGAGATTGATGACCATGAACTTGGCAGCTAGCTTGCAAGCTCTTGCAAGTCAGTCTCACTTAGCCAACCTTAAGTCTGATAGCTTAGGGTAGCCTGTATCAATTTCGATCAACTTTTATTTTGTATCAAGCTTCAGATTATGGAGTCCGGGTTGTACTAAGACTTTCGTGGATGTCAGAACAATAGAAGCTAATCTGCTCAGCATAGATTTGTCCCGCAAAATGGTTGCATAGGACAACAAGTTAACGGTTCATAAAACAAATCCTCAAGTCAAAAATTGTATCAAATCAGGCAACCAAAGGAAGAAGTTTCACCAAGACATCATACAAATTTTTATCCTCAGTTCTTAAGATCAACTATTGCTGTTGTACAAAGAAAGAAGTGGACTGAAGTTTGAACTGACTTGTTTCAAATTCCAGTGTTAAGTTACAACCAAACAAAGATATGATTCTTAAAATACCATGCAATTCAAAAAAGCTCTTTTTACAAAACCAAGCAAAACTTTTTTAAAGAACAGAACAGAACAAACAATACACGAATCCCATGCTATTGTGTCAATCATAAATCAAAACAAACCACAAAGAATATTCTTCATTGATTTGAAGAATCAGAAGAAGATAAAGGTGTACTTAAAGCTTTTAGATCAGGTTCAAATCGATCTTCAATAGGTACCACTCTTTTCAATTCATTGATCCACATATACTTACTAAACAAACACCATAACCTACGAAACCAAACGTTTTGAGAAATATGTTGATTAAAAGACCGTCTAGCATCATAATATTGTTGAACAGTCGACAAAAAGATCGTATGATGATTAGATAAATTATGATTAGTGATTCGAACGGGTTTCAAATCAGGTAGAGTTTCGTTTGGGTTGACTGATGGGATCGAAAGGTTTTTTTCAATGGTTGGATGATGATTAGAACAATTGAAATGTGAAAGGGTTTGGGAAACAAGTTTAGATAACCGTTCAGAGTCTCTTGAAGGATGTAAGAGAGGACGTTGGAAGCTAGGAAGAAGTGACTTGCGAATTTGATGATGTTGATATAAACTTAATGGTAATGAAAATAAAGAGGTGTATTTCGAAATCAATGAACTTGATTCTAGCATCATCGTCATTGGAAAACTTGGATCGGTATGAACGATTCGACTGTTGTATACACCAGATTATTAGAGTTTGCTAAACTTTTGATCGTGAAGTTGATCACAAACTTACGATATGGCAGCTGCGATTGCTCGATGATTTGCATGACCTGATACACCGTGATGATCGAAAGTGATTACCTTTGATACCAAAAAGAATCACAAATATGATCAGGAATGTTCATAACCAATCAAACCTTTTGAAGAACTGATCAAAAGCCTTACTAAATCAATCTTCCAAAGCTCAACATAAAGTTTTACAAATTCAGCGATTTTATCCTCAGGCCACCACACCGACATACTATCTGGTAATTCCCTGTATGTATACAGAAATGAAGAGTTGTCAAAATGGATTTGAAATGGATTATCAGGTTTGAAACACGAACGGATGATCAATCACTATACAATGATCACTTATGATTCCAAATGCCCAACATGAAGCTCTCATCTCTCGAGTCCTTTTCAAACCTAATCCATCAGCGTTTCCTATGGAAAAGGTATCAAGCGATCATCAGGATGACTACGAGAATTTTGATCAGGATTAGGGATAAGATCTTACCAGATGAAAGTGAAAGAATGTGACCTATTGGACTGGTGAGCAAAGTCTGATTGATAGGATGCGTGTTCGGCCGAGGTTTCTGACCTGAACTTGATGATGATCTCGTTGAATTACTGGTTGAATTGAGAAAGCCAGGTTCTAATTCGGTAGTATTCACATATCTAGGTAATAAAAGGTTAAGTAAAGTGGGAGAGAAGAACAAGCATTCATCATCGGCTTAAGATTCGAAAGAACAGAAAAAAAACATCATATATCAGTTTGAGTGAAATGGATCAACTAGTTAGATTTGAAGATGAAATCAACCTAACGATGTGCCACTACTAATAAGACACGTTTAGATCTTGTGATATTTGGACTAACCCACCAATCTCCTTCGAATTGATCAATAAAACCTTCTTCTGTAAACTTATTTCCAATAGGTGGCCAATCTTTAAAAGAAATCACTAAACAATAAAACAAACTGATCGAGATCAAACTTGATAGAATGATTAATTTTATAAACCAATTTTTTGTAAATCGATGAATCAATCTAGTAGGTCTTCTGATAGGTTTGTAAGGTGTATGAGTTGGTTTTGTGGGTTGGTTTGTTGAGGTTTGTTGGGTTTGTTGGTTTGGTTGGGGTTGTAGTTGGATACGATGATGTAGACCAGAAGGTGGTGAACGTCGTCCTATCATTTTGTGTTTGTGATTGAGATTGAGAAAGTTGAAGAATCCGATCGATCGAATAAAAAGTGTTGAGTCACTCTAAACTTAAGCTTAACTGTATTTATGATGGGTTGGTCCACCACATTTTCCTTCATCAAGTCAAATTGAAACCTTCATCTCAAACTTCACACATCACTTCCTTTGTTCAACTTCATCATCAAGGACTCCCTATCAATCCCATCCAGATTTAAGCACCTGGTTTCCCACCATATTAGATTCCCTCTGGAACCACATCTAAACTTATCCGTATTCTTGGTACATAGTCAATTTAAAACTTGGTATAGGATCAAGGATCTCCAGAGTGCAAACAATAAATTCAGCATGAACTCCTTCAAAAGCAAGAGGAATTATGAATTGATTTACAGAGCTCTGATAGAAGTCCCTACAGAGGAATAACATTGGAGATGCTAAAAGTGCAACTCAGGATCTAACAAGAAGCTAAAGCCGAGATGGAATAATGCCAATTTTGAAAAGCACATCACATTGCCATCATCCCTGATCACATGGAAAGATAAATAATGAAGTAGAAGAAAACCAATGAGAAACTTGTTTCATATACATGGCTCTAGAGTCTTACTTCAGTTTTGCCTGTCTGCTATATCACAAATTCTAGAAAAATAAGGGACAGTAAAGTGTAGCAAAAAAAGCTAATTGGCAACAACAATAGGTCAGAATGAATCTCTTTCAGAATCAAATGGCCATATGAAAATTAAATCATACATGCCAGACTTGATTGTGATTGCAACTGGGCTCCATCTTATCTATTATACTACACAAAGTTCTTCTGGAACTTTTCCACAAAGGCAACACCGGGTAAGCAACGCAACAACGCGCTACGGCTACCTTTTGCGTTGCGTTGATCCCATGGTGTATTTGTTACGGTGTAGCTTTTGGCAGCGTTGCGGTCGCAAAAAAAGGCCAAAATGAGCCATGACGTAGCGTTGCTCAAAGCAGTTACGCAGCATCCGTTATCAGCAACAAGCTGGCGCAACATCGTTGCGCATCGCAACAATGCGTTATCAGCAGCGCTAAGACGCAACATGGGTGTAAAAGTGTTAAAATATTCAATTAGATGAAGGAATCACAAAAAAACTGATTTGTATTGAATATTTAAATGTAATATAAACTAGAAAACTAGACATTTGATGAAAAAAAACAAGTTGCCGCCTAAATTCAAGTCATTATGATTCCCAAAGTTTTGAAAACTCGTACAAGCTCCTCATAAGTCTCACCCAACTCCACACCTTCCCTCAGCCACAGCCTACTAGATACCAGACGTTCAATTGTTCTTGCAATGAGGCCACCACGACTGCTTGAGCAAACATTTGACGCACACGAGAAGATGCGCTCGGGAGCGCATGACGAGCCTGTTGAGGCCAAGTAGTCTCTGGCCATGAGGGCCAGGATTCGATAAGATCGTTCATGTTTCTAAAGATTAAACAGGACAGACGTGTTTAATGTGGATGACAAGCACAAAGCATACAAAGATGTGGTACTCACCTCCCACCATGCAAGGCCGGAAGCAGGATCTTGCACATTGTACTCGTCAGCCTTCATTTTATCGACACGCTGCAAGTAGTTCTTGATCTGGATGTCTTCAGCTTCTTCGATCTGTGCATCCTTGTCCAAATCCTCGCAGAAGATGTCAGGCCTCGGTGATGATGTTGCAGGGTTCTGGCTGTTGGTAGTCCGAGGCGCTTTGTTGGATGTTGCATTCAGAGGATATTCTAGTTCATATTGTCGATGAAGCCTTCGCAAAGTCGCTTCAGCTTGGATTGTCACCACAGAGTTCTCACCGAACCACTTTGCAAAGAACTTAAGCCAAAAGAATGGATGAAGCACTGTGGCCATCACAAGTGTTTCGCATCCCAAGGCTTCTTGCAAGTACTCGACCGTCTTTTCTTTCATCTTGCAAAGCATTGGGTAGAGGGCATCACTGGTGCTTAAAGGTTCAATCTTCTTTTCAAGGGACGAGCGGAGTTCCACGTATTGGGGGATTACCATACAGCCCGTTGGGCCATCGCCCTCCATGAGCAAAGTCATCCTAAGGAAAGGCTTGAATACATGAAATCAATTAAGGTGGTGTCAGTGTAAGAACTAAAAGCAATCAATAAAACAAAGAAAAACATGTACCTCAAGTTCATTGTTGATTTTACGGACTTGGGCCCACTCGGATGTTGTCATCTCAAGCTCATGAAAGTATCCGTAAGGCTTTTTGTTTTTGCGTAAAGGTCGATTTTTTGAATGGACCATATTCAAATCATTTCGACATAACTCATCAATGACCTATTGATGGAATCAAGAAAGGTGTCAGCGGTGGACAGCTGGTACGTTGTCAAAAATTCCATCTTACCGCTCTAGCAAGCCAAGCTTTATGCCGGCTTTGATATTTAATGTTCCAACAGATCCCATAACCAGCGATCAGGGATCCATTGAAACCTTTGGAGGCAGCGACTTGTTTGAATTCATTTCTCCAAGCTGCAGATCTAGTTATATGCCGGGTGATAAAATCAACCTGATGTTCATTTCATCAGTAAATTAATTAAATGAAAAATATTTAAGAGGATGGTAATGAGATAAATACCTTGCGCAATATGTAGTCGACATTGTTTGCTTCTCGACGGTGCGTAGGGAGAACTTCTTTACCGACAGTTGAGAGTTCAGGAAAGTCTTCTTCCTCTTCGGCATCCGCGGCGTTCCATTCACCCTCATCGTCAAGTTCAGGAACCTCGGTTTCTGGCAGATCAAGGTCTTGAGGGTCGTGCTCGGGTTCTTCGGTGTCTGCTAAGTTTGGGTCCTTGCTACCAACTTCTTCCTCCTCATCTTCCTCCATGATAGTTCCAATCGATGGAAAGTTTCCACGATCAGCTTGCTTCACCTTGATGGGAGGTGGTGCTTTCACACCCAGCGCAGCCAAACCCGTGTTGACAATAAGTGCCAACTTGTGACAGAAACAAAAAATATGCATGGAATTGGGATCCCATACATATTTCAAGTTACCTTCTTCAAGAAACTGCCGATGCATCTCTTTCGCCATCGTCTTGTTGTTTGATCCGGAGTCCGTGGTCTGGCAAAGCAAGTGAGACAATAGAAAACATAAAGTGTTAGAATGGAAATAAAGAAAAGAAAAGATCAAATCAGACTCATCTTTTGGTACAGACCACGTTTGATCAGAAGGTTAGCCATCGGTTCGGCCAGCCACGGTCCGTGGTGATGCCAAGTGACCACCTTCATAGTGAGGTGGCGTACACGGTACTTCCAGTTGCTGTCCACGAATGTTACTGAGGCTCCGATGAACGTGTGGCGGTTACCCTTCGTGGTCCAGCCATCGTGAATGAGGTTGATTTTCGATTTCAGAGCCTATATCGAAGATGTTGCGTAGATAAGATTGATGTAATCAATATTTATATATATCAATTAAAGAGTTGAACATGACTAACCTTCAGTTCCGAAAACACTGAGTCCTTCAACGAGACATTTATCTTTTTGGCCTCATCAGCCGCCCATCGACGACCGTTGAGGGAGGCGTCCTTGCGAAGATAACGCACCATGCCCCGAAGGATGGGATCCTCCAAACGATTCCAAGGTTGAGCGTGTCGTATAAGCCACGTACAAGCCATCTGATTTAAGATCTGATTGGAGTATGTGACATTGGCGGTGGCGACGACAAAGGAGTCCATGGGACCACTTCCGGTTGCTGATGCCTTACGGGTTTCAGCCACCGAGAGAGGAACACATAGATTCGGTTCTTCGGCTTGAGCTCTGAGACGTCCACTGCATCCTACGTCTGAGCGTCCATCTTGAGTAGATCCATATCGGTGGACCTTCAGGTTTCCAGTAAGATTGGTGTAACTAACTCGCACCGGGTGAGTTTTATCCCTGTGGCAGAATCGACATGCATAGCTGAGCGGTGGCTTTGATCGACTCTGTTTGAAAAAAAAACATATGTGAACAAAATTTAAGAGATAAAGCAAAAGAATGAAATTAAAACCATATAGACTCACATCCAACGTGCCAAAAAACAGGGCATGGAAATAAGCTCTAAGCTTGGCAAGATCAGTAGAGGGGTTCTCGGGCCTCTTCTTAGCGTTGATTGCATTGATTATTGCATCCTCGGGATCGGAATCAGCAATTAGCATTTCCCTAGTGATGTTCTTCGTGATGTCGAGGCCAATAACAATGATTGATTTCAGTGCACTGAAATCATTGACTAAAAGCACCACTAACAAAACACTGACCTTGTCTAGAACTTTCTCTTTGGCTTTTTGTTTACGACTCGAAGTAGAGGCCTTACTTTTCTTCTTCTTCTTGACCACTTCCACCACGTTGTCAGATGATTCGCTCTCAATCTCCTCAACACGCTTTCTTTTTTTGGTTGCAAGCACCGATTCGTTATCTGAGGTGTCTAGTGTATGGTTGATGGTCTTCTGCTTATGCTTGCTTGTAGACGGATTGATTGAGGTGTTGTTATCAAGTGAGACACGTCGGCGGGAATCAGGTGAGGGGTTGACCATAGATGGATTACTGGTCTGCTTGCGATCTCGAATTGGGCGTTCGGATGTCACAGACGACATGTTGGAGTTGATATTAATAGCTGATGTAGTTTGACTGATAGATGAGACAAGAGAAATGAGAGAAGCGATGCCTAATGATGGTCGACCGATAGAAAAGATAAGAGGAGACAAAGGTGAGATTTGATGAAAGAGAGAAGATGTAAGAGATTTGATGAAAGAGAGAAGATGTAAATGAAAACTTGTCAACAATACTTTTACTAAGTTGAACTGAACATATGTGGGTTGAAGATAAGATGGAAACGAAAAACTTGTTAATCGGAAGGGAAGAAGGGTGCCTCACCTTCCTTCGGATCGGTGTATAATAAGACTAGGTGACACTCAACCCCTTTTTCTGCGTCTCCTGCTTGTGGGAGCCGACCGATTTGCCTGCGTCGAGTCCCCATTGGGAGTGTTAGTGCCTTCAACCGGCAGGAAATCGTATTTACGTAGATATTGAAG